TTGATTTGTTTGCTTCCTTTTACGTTAACATAATTTATCATTCATTCTGTCGCGGGTTCATTTGTATCCTGTTACAGCGCAAACGCCAAGAAATAAGAAATAACCACCCCTCCCCCTCGGACAACGAAGAGAGAAAGAGAGAGAGAGATGAGTGGCGGCTTACAAAAGCTGGGAACAACACGTTTTGTGAGCGCTCTCCCCTCGCTCCTCTCTCTCCCCTCAATTCTCTCTGTCCCCTCTCTCTCACCTCTATCCTCTCTCTCCTCTCCATCCCCTCTCCCATCTCTCCTCTCTCTCTCTCTCTTTCCCCTCTCTCGCTCTCCCCTGTGCTGTGAGGTCTTTTGACATCTCGCGGCGCGATCCGTTACGCCACCGAGGTAAATGCGTCGCGCACACCCCGCTCACATTACCGCAGGTCCGTCAAGACTTCCAAAAAAAGGGGGGACGGGGGGGCCCCCCCTTTCACCGACCCCTCCTCCTTTTCCATTGCCACCCCCCCCCCCCCCGTAACCTTCCAGTGGCCATTCTACCGCTGGCTGTAATTCTGCGGTCCTTGAAGATTTGCAACAACAACTAAAATAAGGCGATGACAAACATTCCCTCCACTCCAGCCCGCCCGCTCCACCGTGTGGCCTTGATAGGCTGCAGGAGCAAGAGCTGTGAGCGAGCACCTATGAAAGCCGGTCCAACGGTGCAGTAGAAGGGGTGGGTGGGTGGCCAGCACCAGTGGCGGTGAAGACTGCAAGGACGAAAGATCCCCCGTGTAGCCTCGGCAGAATGTTGGGGCAAGGGCTGACAGCGAGTAATAGCCACCTATGAAGGCCGGCACCGTGGCACTCGAGCGGGTGGGTGGCCAGCACCACGCCCGGCCGCCTTTGTCTCCCACGTGGCGATGTTTCACGCACCGCAACCAGGTACTCATTCGAGGCTGAGTCTACCTAAGGGAGGCCCAGGGCCAGTTCAGATAATCACTGCACACACAAAGGCAAAGATCCCCCGTATAGCCTTTGCAGGCTGTTGGGGGCAAGTTAGCCAGCAGCACCTCTGAAGGCTGCCAAGGAAGACGACGGTGTGTTTGTGTGTATGTGTCTGTGTGTTTTTGTGTCTAGGCCACTGGACGGGTTCCGCAGGCTTGGGAGGATGCCCTGGTGGCCCCCCTCTTTAAGAAGGGGGACCGCACAGGCTGTAACAACTACAGGGGCATCTCACTCCTCAGTGTGCCGGGAAAGGTGCTGGCAAGGATTATTCAACATCGCCTTGCTAGGCACGCTGAGGAGAGGCTTGCGGAGCCCCAATGCGGTTTCAGGAAAGGGCGGTCCTACACAGATGCAATATTTTCAGTCCGTCTGCTACAGCAGAGGTGTAGGGAATTCCAACAAGATCTACATCTCTGCTTCATTGACCTGATCAAGGCCTATGACACCATCAGTAGGCCTGGGCTCTGGGTTGTTCTTCGTGCTTTCGGAGTCCCTGGCCCTCTGCTCACGCTCATTACGGACCTTCATGATGGTGAGCAGGCCCGGGTAATACTACGTGGCCTGGAGTCTGAGCCATTCCCTGTGCACCTTGGGATCCGACAGGGATGTCCTCTGGCTCCAACATTATTAAACATCTATTTCGACCACGTACTTTGTGAAGCCTTCAGTAGCTGTACCGGAGGAATTTCCATTTGGTACAGATACAATGGGAGGCTGATCGATGCCCGGGTGTGGTCAAGGGATGGTTCCCTATTGGTCAACCACGTTATGTATGCCGACGACCTGGTAATTGCAGCTGCTGCTGAAACTGGAGTGTGCCACTAAGAGGTGGGGCTTTACCATCAGCGCCACCAAAACGAAGCACCTGGGTATTTTGTACCATCAGGCACTCCACCCCCACAACTCCAAATCGGTGATGGGGCAGTTGTGGAGAGAGTGGAGAGTTTCCCATACTTGGTCAGTGTGCTCATGCGCAGCTCCGGTTTAACAGCAGAGGTATCACTCCGAATCAGTCAGTCGGTATTATCTTTTCATCGGTTGCGTAACACTGTGTGGAAGCTACGCACGAAGCTTCAGGTCTTCTCGGCCACAGTAATTCCTTCCCTTCTCTACGCTTACGAAACATGGACCCCCCTAATGGAACATCATCGCCGGTTAGAAACTTTTAGGCTGGCCTGCCTTCGATCAATCCTGGGTTTAACCAGTCTGGATTTTGTGAGGAACTCGAAAAACCTCGAAAGATCTGGACAAGTCCCATCGGTGAGCTCCTCCGGCAGGCAAGCTGCATTGGCTGGGCCATGTAGCCCGCATGCCCAATCACCGCATGCCCAAAGAGTTTTTGTTCGGCCGGATCGAGGGGGCTAAACGGGCGCGGCATGGGCTAGAGAAGAGATGGAGTGACGTGGTACAGGAGGATGTGGAGCTGAGTGGACTTGCCGATGACTGGTACCAGCGCTGTCAAGATCGGCCTCTGTGGAGGAGGCTCGTGAAGAACGCTACTAGGCAGTTGAAGGCAGTCGCCCTCCAACAACAACAGAGGGCGGAGGAGCGACGCTCACAACAACGAGCGGAGCGCCGGGTGGCGAAAGCACAGCAAGTTGGCACAGCAGGGGGCACAGGTGGTGCATCAGCCAGTCATCTCAGTCAGTCGACCCGTGGCACCTGGGTCTGCCCCGTGACCTCCTGCCAGCGGGTGTTCGACACTTCACGTGGCCTCAAGGTGCACATGGCCTAGCACACGCGTCGTGGTGACGTCACCGCCACTTAGTGGCGAATGGCGGTTGTTGTTTGTGTATGTGTGTTTGTGTGTTTGCGTGTATGTGTGTTTGTGTGTTCGTGTGTGTTTGTGTGTATGCGTGTTTGTCTGTGTGTGTGTTTGCGTGTATGTGTGTTTGTGTGTGTATGTTTGCATGTATGTATGTGTGTTTGTGTGTGTGTTTGTGTACCTACCATACATTGAACTTCGTTCGCACAGTACGTAGCCAACCATGCTGATCGGAGGTGCTGGGGGAAGCAAACAAACTAAACACAACAACAACGAGCAATTGTAAAGAAACGAGTTTGTCAATCGAGATGATTTAAAATGCACCGTAGCTCCCAGTGGCTTCCTAATATCGGTAAGGAAGAGCATTCCAGACGGCCACAGAAGCGCAAACATTCAGGCGATGAACCGCAGCAGAGAGACCTCTTGGGCTTACATGTGACGCGCGTTTGCGGTCAGTGTCAGGCTATAACCCCGCCGTGGTAGGCGCGTTCACGAAAAAACACTGCCGTTATGTTGAGGGGGGGGGGGGGGCGATCGCGTTCTAATAACCGTCGATTTGATGGGGGAATTAAGGAGTAAGTAGGTTTTGAAAACACCAACGTGACTCCACATTTTTTTGTGCGCGCTAACTTGTTGGATTGCTGTCGATTTGCACACGTTCCTTTTTGCAATCGCCGTGTTTTCAGTTTGACAATGTGCGTCGCTCGTTCTCCCGGCGTACGGCAAAGTCCGTTGTTGCAAAACCGCACGCCTTAGTTTGTTTTAGTCCGCAAACCACACGACAGCTTTTGGGAGTCAATCCGCGACTCAATACCGCCTTGGCCGGCCGAAGAATTTTGACTTTGAAACCATTTTTATTGCTGCCATAAAAAAAAAAACAGCGCCGGAGCCGATTTCGATACGAAACACAGCAGCGACAAATAACCATACACAATTAAAAAAAAAAGGCACGCGCCGCAGCACGTGTTGCTCGACGCGCCACACCCACCACAAAAACGTCACGCGGCGGTCGTCGTCGTCGCGCAAGCCACGCCCGACGACCAAGCACGTGAGAAGGTGGAATAGCAGGGGGCCGCGTAGGGGACGCAGTCGTTCGCGACACGCTGGGGAGGGAGGTGGGGTGGGTGGGTTCCCATTGCCCGCTTGCGGTGGGCCCGCGCGGTCACGCCGCGCCGTGCCAGGCTGGGCGGTCGTCAATTTGCCGCTCGTGGTGGAAGGAGGGAGGCGTGGGCCGCCTGCGGCCGGTGTTGGCTGCTGATTCTAAAGAGAGGTTGATGGGCGCAAGCACCGCGCCAGTTTCCTCGGGAGATCCAAGCCGTGCGGGGCTCGTCGATGAGCATCCGATTGGGAACCTCCGCGATGAGGGTCCGATTGGGAACCTCCGCGCTCTCCGCCAGCGGTCTCCGGTCGACTTCGCTAATTAAATAAGGAAGGACGCGTAGCTCTGTTGACTCGATCGCGTTACACATCCGATTGCCATCCGCGTTCCCTCATACATGCGTCGCGTCATGTCCGATTCACATTTTTTTTGTTTTAATAATAAGCGGCGTTATAGCAGGAGGGACTGTGCCGTGCACTGTGTATGGAACAGGAGGAGGATTCCTCCACAACTCTGGCTGTCGCCTGATGATGCTGGTTGTTGTTGTAATTACCGGCGAAAGATCACGGTACTCGAATTGTAAATGCTGTAGTGGGTTTACTCTCCAACACACAACCAGTTAGTGCTCAACTAGTATACTACACTGTACGCTGCACTACACACTCAACTACTATACACTACACTATACAATACACTACCTCTCCAACATAATACCGGTTAGTGCTGAACTAGTATACTACACTATACACTACTAACCGGTTAGTGATGAACTAGTATACTACACAATATGTCACGGTACTCAAATTGTAAATGTTGTAATGGGTTTACTTCTCCAACACACAACCGGTTAGTGCTGAACTAATAACGAATTGTTAATGTTGTAGTGGGTTTAATCTCAAACACACAACCTGGTGTGTGCTGTACTAGTAACGAATTGGCCAAATTTTATTATTTACACGACACACCTTACTAATTGGCTGTGTCAGTTGGTGGTGGTGGCGGGTTTAACGACACATTTACACTTTCGCGATCTAACCCAAAAAACTCCTTTATTATGGAATATATTGTTCGCGAACGCATTAACTACATGTGAAACCACTGTTTCATTGTTGTTGTTATCCACCGGACTGGGGCGAACGTTGTTTTTGCCCTCCCACAGCCGTGCGTCAGGCGGAAGCAGGCTGTGATGCTGCCGTCGGGCCTCAGGGTGTGCCCTCAGCAGTCGCTCCAGGAGATCAGGAAGACCCACCTCGCCCACTACAAGCTGCGCAGTTGAGTGGCGAGCCGCGATTTCCCATGGCTCGTTTTTTAGTTTTTCGTTTTAGCCGCCTCCGGACGAGTCGGCATGCCCCGGCGACGCCCCGCGCCCTCACAGCAAGGAGAGGGTCCCCGAGTTCGATTCCCGACACAGCTGCTTGTGTACAGTCTGTTCTCCGATAACGCTGCGTGTTGTTTTCACGACGTTAGGAATTTAATGTAACGTAGGAGGACCCTCCTGAGTCTTGAGACCCATCAACGCTCCCCTGGGTAAACGAGCCTCGGAGTAATCATAATACAAATGTAATTAGACGGCATGTGGCCGCATCTGGCAGCAGTAAAGCTGTGCTTCTGCTTTTTATATAAAAAAAAAAATTGCACGCTTTTATTGCCTTCGATCAACAGGCAAGTCCAACTTCCACAGGCCCTGCACCTTCCTCTTTAGGCCCCACACCTTCCTCTTTAGGCTCCACCCCTTGATAGTTAGGCCCTGCCCCTTCCTATTTAGGCCCCGCCTGTCTGTGTTTAGGCCCCACCCCTCCCCGGCACACACGCGGGGGTTGGGCTGGTATGGGTAGTGGTAGGGGTTGTCGACGGGGAAGGGGAGTGTGAGCAGCAGTAGGGGTAGTGGTGGTTGAGGTCTGTAGAGGTAGTGGTGGGTGGGGTCAGTAAGGTTAGTGGTGGGTGGGGTCAGTAAGGTTAGTGGTGGGTGAGGTCAGTAAGGGTAGTGGTGGGTGGGCTCCCTCCGTGTCTCTTTCTCATCATCATCATCATCACGCTGGCTAGGAGATATGAACTACCTTGCTGGTATACGGGAGGTTTGTCGGTTCGATCCCAACCCGGCCTCCCCCTGTATATTTTGAGTATGCGTGTCTCTCTCTCTCTGTCTCACTGTGGTAGTGTAGATTTTTCTCCGCATCCATCAGTCTTCCTCTCCACATTTAGAATCACCATCACGCATTCGGAGTATTTGGCTGCTGCCACAAGTTTCCCACATGACAACGACGACGATGCGTCCACTTCGTTGAGCTATCGTTTGTGATAGCCAGGTTCGCTTCTGATAAAAGAGCTACACAGCTCAGTTGGGCCCTTTCACTTGGTGACGTGAAACATTGTAAAAGTCACGCAGGTGGAAAATGTATATATCACGACGTTTCGATCGCAACACAAGCGATCGTCGTCAGGTGGGACAACCACGGCAAGAAAAAAAACTGCTGAAGTCGTGCTGCGATCGAAACGTCGTGATCTATTATGTTCATACCCACGTGACTTTACCGAAAGAACCAAAGGGTACGGATACTTGCAGTCACGAAAGCTTCAAATCAACATTGATTATAGTTTCTACGTTCCCAGTGTTATTCTTGAATCCCAACTTGGCCACGCGGAAGGCCTTCCGGGCTGTCGCGTGGAACGAATTACGCACCGTGTACCGAGACGCGTTGTCCGAGCGGATTGGCGTTGGTGCCAATCCGGCGAGTCTTCTCGCCTCGCCGAAGTCGAATGTCGATTTGAGAAAGCTGGTTGCGGCGGCTGACCCCTGGCCACAGCGTGCCAGGACGCGGTGTGGGAGGCGTTCCGAGTGTTCTGGGACCGCGTGCCGGAGCGTGCCGAGTACCGCTCCTGGCTGGCGGCGTGCCTGCACGGCCGCACCGGCGCTGCGGGGATCGGCGCCGCCTTCAGCGCCTCCGCCGAGCACGCGCAGTTTCTCGACAAGGTGGGGCGCTCACACACTCACGGACACGCTCACGTACTCACGCACTCACGGACTCACTCACTCACACACTCACTCACACACTCACGCGCTCACGCACGCACTCACTCATGCGCTCACTCACGCGCTCACTCATGCACTCACGTACTCACGGACTCACGCGCTCACGCACTCACTCACGTACTCACGTACACACTCACTCACGCACTCACGCACTCACTCACGCGCTCACGCACTCACTCACGCACTCACTCACGCACTCACGTACACACTCACTCACGCACTCACGCACTCACTCACATACTCACTCACGCACTCACACACTCACTCACGCACTCACTCACGCACTCACGTACACACTCACTCACGCACTCACGCACTCACTCACATACTCACTCACGCACTCACTCATGCACTCACGCACTCACTCACGCGCTCACTCACGCGCTCACGCATGTGCTCACAAACTCACACACTCACTCACTCACGCACTCACTAACACACTCACGCGCTCACTCACGCACTCATGGACTCACGCGCTCACGCACGCACTCACGCATGTGCTCACAAACTCACACACTCACTGACACACGCACGTGCACTCATTCACGCACGCACCTGTGTGTCCCATAGATTAACACAGAGATCCATAAGCTCAAATAGAGACTCACAGAGACTCAAATAATCACATACAAACCGAGACTCACGGAGACCCTTGAACTCACACAGATATGCATAGACATCTACATATTGACGTGCAGATACCTATAGACTTACATACAGACCCATAACCGGGTTCTCAATTCTCGCGCGGTGAAGGTCAAAGCCCAGTCACCAGTGATTGCAACAACAACAACAACAAAAACATGACATTTAAATTTGATTTTTCACTTAATTTCTTAGAGGTAACTCTTTGATATCCGCTTCCAGAGACAGTTCCGTGTGTGAACCAGAGTGTCACTTGAACAAGGGATCTCAGAGGTGGCTCTGTGATATCCGCTTCCACGGACCGTTCCGTGTGTTAGCCAGAGTGTCACTGAAACAAGGGATCTCAGAGGTGGCTCTGTGATATCCGCTTCCACGGACCGTTCCGTGTGTTAGCCAGAGTGTCACTGAAACAAGGGATCTCAGAGGTGGCTCTGCGATGTCCACTTCCGCGGGACGTTCTCTAACGCACACATAAAGGATCGTGCGGCTCTGCGAGATTCCCGAGCGGATTCTTCGTCGCAGCGACGACGGCGATGACACGGGGTAGAAGTGCCATCGCGATCTTCGCGGATGCATTTCGGGGGTAAAAATGATAAGCCACCAAAAATTCCAAGGACGCTGACGGAAACTCCGGGGGGGTTCACGGCCAACGTTTGGCCCCAATTCTCCGCGGCCGCGCATCGCACCCGCCTGTTTAGTTTGAGCTCCGTGAGCCGGTTAATGTTCCCATTCGCCCTGAATTATGCAGCACATTTGTTAACCACGCCACCGCTACCACCTCCACCACTGCCACCGCCGCCACCTCCAGCACCTCCACCACCAACGCCTTCACCACCGCCACCACCACCGCCACAACCTCTACCACCACCTCCACCACCGCCACCTTCACAACCTTCACCACCACCATCACCAACGCCTTCACCACCGCCACCATCACCGCCACAACCTCTACCACCATCGCCACCAACTATTCCACTACCACCGCCACCACCTCTACCACCACCACCGCCATCACCTATACCACCACCTCCACCACCGCCACCTTCACAACCTTCACCACCACCTCTACCAACGCCTTCACCACCGCCACCACCACCGCCGCAACCTCTACCACCACCACCGCCACCACCTCTTCCACAACCACCACCTCTACCACCACTACCGCCACCACCTCTACCACCACCACCTCTACCACCGCCACCACCTCTACCACCACCACCACCTCTACCACCGCCACTACCTCTTCCACCACCACCGCCACCACCACTACCACCACCACCACCACCGCCGCCACCTCTACCACCTCAATCACGAACACCACCACCTCTACAACCACCACCGCCACCACCGCTACCATCACCACCGCCACCGCTACCATCACCACCACCACCGCTACCATCACCACCACCACCGCTACCATCACCACCACAACCACCGCCACCACCGCTACCACCCCAATCACCACCGCCGCAAAAATAAATCCACCGGCGATGTTGTTTATATTTTTTTCTCCGTTGCTTTGTTTGCCAATAACAGCGCGGCCGCTCTTGGTGACATTTCGCGACAATTTCGGCAGCGCACACAAAGACAAAGATCTCCGCCCCCCCGTAGCCTCTAACAGACTGTAGGGGCAAGGGCTGTTAGCGAGCGGCACCTGTGAAGGCCGGCAGCGGCGCACGAGGGGGTGGGTGGCCAGCACCACGCCCGGCCGCCTTTGTCTCCCCAGTGGCGATGTTTACGCACCGCACCAGGTACTCATTTCAGGCTGAGTTGACCTAGGGGAGGCCCGGGACCGGTTCAGACGATCGTCACCGATGTCGGCCGTGAGCCGGGAATCGAACTCGGGTCGCCGGGTTCGTAGCGCAGCGCAGCGCTAACCGCTACACTACCGCTCCCCACGCACACACGCGCGCACACACACACAAACGCACGCGCGCGCACACTCGCACACGTACGCGCACACAGACGCACGCACACACGCGCACACACACACGCACGCACACTCGCACACGCGCACACACACACGCGCACACGCACGCACACACACACGCGCACACGCGCGCGCGCGCGCTCGCACGCTCGCTGCCCCTAACCTTTCCCGCGTGCATCCGTCTCGTCGGCGGGCGACAGTAATCGTCCGAGCCGGGGCCTCGGAGGCCGCATTAACGAGCCGCAATTAGGGCGCGGCTCTCTCGACGCTGGTTCAGGCGCGACGGGGAACGACGTCCGTCAAAGTTTCGTTCACGGCGCTCCGTTTCCTCCCCACCCCCACCCCCCCCCCCTATATGCGACGGGAGGAGAAGTTTTGACTTTCCTCTCTCCGCCCGTCGTCGCATAGAGGGACAACTTTTGGATGCGTGCGTGCGTGCGTGCACGCACGCGCGTTGAAATTCTTTCTCAATGTGAGTTAGCCTAGCCGTTGATAATCGGAGGATGTGTCAATGTGTGGGTGAGTGGCTGTGTGAATGGGTGAGTGACTATGTGAGTGTGTGAGTGAGTGACTATGTGAGTGCGTGAGTGGCTATGTGAGTGGGTGAGTGAGTGACTATGTGAGTGGATGAGTGGCTATGTGAGTGGGTGAGTGAGTGACTATGTGAGTGGGTGAGTGGCTATGTGAGTGGGTGAGTGACTATGTGAGTAGGTGAGTGACTACGTGAGTGGATGAGTGACTATGTGAGTGGGTGAGTGACTAAGTGAGTGGGTGAGTGACTACGTGAGTGGATGAGTGACTGTGTGAGTGGATGAGTGGCTATGTTAGTGGATGAGTGGCTATGTTAGTGGATGAGTGACTACGTGAGTGGATGAGTGACTATGTGAGTGGTTGATTGACTACGTGAGTGGATGAGAGACTATGTGAGTGGGTGAGTGACTATGTGAATCTACGTATGTATGTTTGCTGAACTTCTTTCGCACCGCGCGTAGCCAACCGCGCTAATTGAGGCGCTGTAAAGGACAACGAACTGAACACACAAAACGCAATCTAGACGATATCACAGTGCACCACAGCTCCCAGTGCCTTCCTGATATCGGAAGCGAGAGCGTTCCAGACGGCCGCAGCAAGCGCATCTGTACGCGCGGACGACCCGCAGCTCGCGTGACGATGGCTCGCGCTCCTTGACAAGATCAGCGAGGTGTGGTGGTTCATTCGTGGCGAGCGCTTGGTGCGTAATGAGTTTAACCTTTTCAATGTGTTTGTTCGGCAACCGGCAGTTCAGCGGGTACCGGACAGACACGGCCGGGTCTTTGGTGGGGTTGTTGTTGTTGTTGTTGTTTTTTTTTTCTGGAAGATTTGCTGGTTTATCCCAGGATGTTTCTGTTTCGCGTCGTCACTTTAAGATGTTTCTCTGTTCATATTTTGTTCGGTGCTGTTGCACCCGCATGCCTCGAAGGGCTACACTTAATCAATTAAACTTGAAGCTTGCAGCACCCCGCCACGACCAACGCGCCAGACGATTTTGTACACGCCGCAGATTGCTAACGTTTTTGGGTTGTTTTTTTTTGCTTGCCAGACGTTCCGTAGAGTGGTGAGTTGCAATGATTATCGAGCCTCGTCGATGCTCTTACAGCGTGGTGAAGTTTGGTCTAATAACTCCCCCCCCACCCCCACCCCCACCCCCCCCCAATACTATTATTATTCTTATTAACACAAGTTGGAGAATTAGTTTTTTAATATCTGAAGCGACCCGGCCAACGGGACTCCCTCGAGGTTAATTTTGTGTGACCAGCGTGAGAAGAGGTCAGCAGGTAGAGGAAGAGTCTCAGTTCGTAAAGGCTGAGCGACCTCAACTACTATCGTTTTATTTTCCCAGGGGAAGACCCCCCCCCCCATAGCCCCCCCCCCCCCCCATAGCCCCCCCCCCCCCCCCCCGGGCCATCACAGGCGACAGCTCAACCGAGCGGCCTACAGAGACGTCGTCCGGAGCTGTGCAGCAGCAGGCCAATGGTACTCGTCGTGGCCACAGCCTGGGGGGCACAACGGACGTGGTGTGCCGGGTTGGGCGTCCATCAAGGAGGGGAGGGGAGTGGGGGGGGGGAAGGCGAAGGGGGGAGGGGGAGGTGGGTGAGGAGCGCCGAGAAACTTAAGATGAATCCCGCCGCCCATTTGAGAGGCATTAAAACGCGATCATAGCGGCGATCCATCACTGCGGGAGCCCTTGGCGTGGTTGGTTTATTATTAATAATGCTCGGCGCGCCGTAGGGGAACGCGACCCATTAACAAGAGACGGCGGCGCGTTGCCACGCGCGACGTTTGCGTTTGATTCGGGTGGAGAGAAAACAGGGGGGGGGGACATAGACATAGAGTAGGGAGAGAGGGGGGGTAGAGAGAGAGGGGGTAGAGAGGGAGAGGGGGGGTAGAGAGAGAGGGGGGGTAGAGAGAGAGGGGGTAGAGAGGGAGAGGGGGGGTAGAGAGAGAGGGGGGTAGAGAGAGAGCGGGGGGGGTAGAGAGAGAGCGGGGGGGTAGAGAGAGAGGGGGGTAGAGAGAGAGGGGGGTAGACAGAGAGGGGGGTAGAGGAGAGAGAGGGCGGTTAGAGAGAGAGAGAGGGGGGTAGAGAGAGAGAGAGGGGGGTAGAGAGAGGGGGGGGGTAGAGAGAGAGGGGGTAGAGAGAGAGGGGGGGCAGAGAGAGAGCGGGGGGGGTAGAGAGAGAGGGGGGTAGAGAGAGAGGGGGGTAGACAGAGAGGGGGGGTAGAGAGAGAGAGGGCGGTAGAGAGAGAGAGAGGGGGGTAGAGAGAGAGGGGGGTTAGAGAGGGGGGGGGGTAGAGAGAGAGAGGGGGTAGAGAGAGAGGGGGGGGCAGAGAGAGCGGGGGGGTAAGGAGAGCAGAGCGTGAAATATTTTGTGAAATCTTTCATTTAAAAAGGGGAGGGTTAACTTAAAGCAGAGCTTTGAAAAAAAAAACTAAAATGATGAACGCAGCAAAGTGCCGACTACACCGAGAGGTGGGTGGGGGGGAGGGGAGTCGTGGAAGCGAGACGTCACGACCCCCGCTATGTCTCCCCCTTCTCTCGCTGGCCCATCCACCTTCGGTCGTTTCTCTAAGGGGGGAGGGGGTGGTGGTGGGGGGGGGCACAGCGAGAGGGAGGGGGTGGGGGGGGCACAGCGAGGGGGAGGGGGTGGTGGGGGGGGCACAGCGCGTCCACAGGAACCGCGGAGGCGAGTGGCAAAGTTTCCGCTCCCTCCAAGGCTGTGGGCTCTGTGAGGTCACTCGCAGGGAGGCGTCTGGGAGGTAGCTCTGTAGCGGCGGCGTCATCGGCGTCATCGGCGTCGTCGGCGTCATCATCGGCGTCGTCGGCGTCGTCATCGGCGTCGTCGGCGTTGTCATCGGCGTCGTCATCGGCGTCGTCATCGGTGTCGTCGGCGTCGTCATCAGCGTCGTCATCGGCGTGGTTGGCGTCGTCATCGGCGTCGTCGGCGTCGTCGGCGTCGTCATCGACGTGGTCTGCGGCGTCGTCATCGGCGTCGTCGTCATCGGCGTCGTCGGCGTCGTCAGGCTGCGTTTGTCGAACCGTCGAACTAAAGACGGTGGTCACCGCGCCGCGCGCTCTCAGGCGTATGCATGTGTGTACGTTGAACTTCTTTTGCACTGCACATAGCCAACCATGCTAATCGGATTTTGGTTGAGTGGGTGAGTTACTATGTGAGTGGGTGAGTGACTATGTGAGTGGGTGACTATGTGAGTGGGTGAGTGACTATGTGAGTGGGTGAGAGGGTGACTATGTGAGTGGGTGGCTATGTGAGTGGGTGAGTGACTATATGAGTGGATGAGTGAGTGACTATGTGAGTGGGTGAGTGACTATGTGAGTGGGTGAGAGGGTGACTATGTGAGTGGGTGAGTGACTATGTGAGTGAGTGAGTGAGTGACTATGTGAGTGAGTGAGTGACTATGTGAGTGGGTGAATGACTATGTGAGTGAGTGAGTGACTATGTGAGTGAGTAACTATGTGAGTGGGTGAGTGACTATGTGAGTGGGTGAGTGAGTGACTATGTGAGTGGGTGAGTGACTGTCTGAGTGAGTGAGTGGCTATGTGAGTGGGTGAGTGGCTATGTGAGTGGGTGAGTGACTATGTGAGTGGGTGAGTGAGTGACTAGGTGAGTGACTATGTGAGTGGGTGAGTGAGTCACTATGTGAGTGGGTGAGTGAGTGACTATGTGAGTGGGTGAGTGACTGTCTGAGTGAGTGAGTGGCTATGTGAGTGGGTGAGTGGCTATGTGAGTGGGTGAGTGACTATGTGAGTGGGTGAGTGAGTGACTAGGTGAGTGACTATGTGAGTGGGTGAGTGAGTGACTATGTGAGTGGGTGAGTGAGTGACTATGTGAGTGGGTGAGTGAGTGACTATGTGAGTTGGTGAGTGACTGTGTGAGTGAGTGCGTGACTATGTGAGTGGGTGAATGGCTATGTGAGCGGGTGAGTGACTATGTGAGTGGGTGAGTGACTATGTGAGTGGGTGAGTAGCTATGTGAGTGGGTGAGTGGCTAAGTGAGCGGGTGAGTGAGTGACTATGTGAGTGGGTGAGTGAGTGATTATGTGAGTTGGTGAGTGACTGTGTGAGTGAGTGGCTATGTGAGTGGGTGAATGGCTATGTGAGCGGGTGAGTGAGTGACTATGTGAGTGGGTGAGTGACTATGTGAGTCTACGTGTGTACGTTGAACTTCTGTGTTACCGCACGTAGCCGACCGTGCTAACTGGAGGTGTGGCCGGAAGGACAACAAACTAAACACAAAAAAACAGTTATAAAGAAATTAGTTTCCAATCTAGATGATTAAAATTGACAACGCTCCAGTGGCTTCCTAATAGGTGACCGTGCAGAGAACATCAGCTCACTAATCACAACCCAGCCTATGGGGTGACAGAGTGGATAGATGTTAACTACCTCGCCTGGTATACAGGAGCGCATGAGTTCAATCCCAACCCTGACGTCTGCTGCTGTATATTTGGAGTTTGCGTGTCTTTCTCTCTCCCTGTAATCGGGTGGATATTTCTCCGGCTCCTCCGGTTATTCCCTCCACATTAAGAATCAATATCACGCGTTCAGAGTGTTTTAGCCGCTGTATGATGATGATGACGACCCCCACTTTGTTGAGCAATAATTTGTGATAGCCAGGTCGCTTCTGAACAGTGGAGCCTTACCTGGTCTAAATAAAAAAAATTAGTTTAGTTTTAATTGTGAGTCTATGGGTCTCTGGCTGAGTCTATGGACCTGTGTTTTGAGCCAACGGGTCTATAAGTCACTGGTGACTGGGCAGTGGCTGTAACCTGGAGTCAAACCCCAGGACCTCAGCGGTGCCGGCTTAGCGCCGATGACCTCTGACCCACCCGGATACCTCTAGAACCACGTGTGTGTGTGTTTAAGTCCCGCGAATGATCCCGCTAATGTTTAACGCATTCATTCTCCCGTCTTGACAGATTTCTACAATCCACGAGGAGCCACCCAGGTGAGCGCTAAAAAGTAGCTGCCAGTCGCGTAAGTTTTGCTTTTGTGTCACCAGGTGATAACTCTCCATAACAGATTTTTATATATATAATATACAGGTAGTCCCCGACTTACGATATTTTCGACTTACGATGGGGCCGTCGTAACGCATCTCCATCGTAAGTCGGGGACTACCTGTATCGTAAGTCGGGGACTACCTGTATATGACCGAAAACAGGAGGATACAATTTTGATTTAAAGCTTTCGTGACTGCAGGGATTCATATTCTTGGTTCTTTCGGTAAAGTCACGTAGAAGGGAAACAATAAAATAATAAAAAATATAAAACAATAAAATTCTCACGACGTTTCGACCGCTACACAAGCACGTACGCAGCCGCTGCTGTATATTTGGAGTTTGCGTGTCTCTCTCTCTCTCCCCATGGGTGCGTGGATTTTTCTCCGTGTCCTCCAGTTTTTTTCCCCCTCCACATTAAGAATCGACGGCCACGCGTTTAGAGTATTTGGTTGATGCTATACATTTCCCACACGACGATGATGATGATGATAGCCGCCACTTGGTTGACCTATCATTTGTCATGGCCAGGTCGCTTCTGAAAAAGAGCCACAAAGCTCAGTGGGGACCTCGTCTAGTCAAATTAAAAGAAATTTAATTTCCGTGCTGCCTTAGAAGGGCGGCACCGGTGTACGGAGGGACCTGCCAGAGGAGAAGGTTTACAGTTTAATAGCGTAGGATGTTGGGACGTAATCCGGTGACATCGACCGGCTCGTTAGCGTAGATGAATCGTCGCGCACCGCCGCGCGAGAGGATGCGGCAGTGTGACGGTGTAGCGGTGTAGAGGTGTGGAGGTGTGACGGTGTGGTGGTGTGACGGTGTGATGGTGTGTTGGTGTGACGGTGTGACTGTGACGGTGTGACGGTGTGATGGTGTGACTGTGACGGTGTGGAGGTGTGATGGTGGGTAGGTGTGACGGTGTGACTGTGACGGTGTGGTGGTGTGACGGTGTAGAGGTGTGACGGTGTGACTGTGACGGTGTAGAGGTGTGACGGTGTGACTGTGACGGTGTGGAGGTGTGACTGTGACGGTGTAGCGGTGTGACGGTGTGACTGTGACGGTGTGGAGGTGTGATGGTGTAGAGGTGTGACGGTGTGGAGGTGTGACGGTGTGGAGGTGTGACTGTGACGGTGTAGCGGTGTGACGGTGGGGAGGTGTGACGGTGTGACTGTGACGGTGTAGAGGTGTGACGGTGTGAGGTGTGACGGTGTAGCGGTGTGACGGTGTAGTGGTGTGACGGTGTAGTGGTGTGACGGTGGGTAGGTGTGACGGTGTAGTGGTGTGACGGTGGGTAGGTGTGACGGTGTGACTGTGACGGTGTGGAGGTGTGACGGTGTGACTGTGACGGTGTAGAGGTGTGACGGTGTAGAGGTGTGACGGTGTGGAGGTGTGACGGTGTGACTGTGACGGTGTGACTGTGACGGTGTAGATGTGTGATGGTGTAGCGGTGTGACGGTGTAGAGGTGTGACGGTGTGACTGTGACGGTGTAGAGGTGTGACTGTGACGGTGTAGTGGTGTGACGGTGTAGAGGTGTGACGGTGTGGAGGTGTGACAGTGTGACTGTGACGGTGTGACTGTGACGGTGTGACGGTGTAGAGGTGTGACGGTGTAGAGGTGTGACGGTGTGGAGGTGTGATGGTGTGACTGTGACGGTGTGACTGTGACGGTGTAGATGTGTGATGGTGTAGCGGTGTGACGGTGTAAAGGTGTGACGGTGTGACTGTGACGGTGTGACTGTGACGGTGTAGAGGTGTGACTGTGACGGTGTAGTGGTGTGACGGTGTAGAGGTGTGACGGTGTGGAGGTGTGACAGTGTGACTGTGACGGTGTGACTGTGACGGTGTGACGGTGTGGAGGTGTGACGGTGTAGAGGTGTGACGGTGTAGAGGTGTGACGGTGTAGAGGTGTGACGGTGTAGAGGTGTGACGGTGTAGAGGTGTGACGGTGTGACTGTGACGGTGTGACTGTGACGGTGTAGAGGTGTGACGGTGTGACTGTGACGGTGAGCGTCACACTGGGCTAGGAGCCCCAGCCGCCCCGTTCACACGTCGCGTCTGGACACGTGGGCACGACGCGTCAGCGACGCGTCAGCATCGCGCTCGACCAGCGACCCAGAGGTTCGCCGGTTCGACTCCGGCTCCCGGTAAACGGAAGTTCAAGCGAGGGTGCCAACTTTCCAAAATCCCCACCACCACCGCCACCACCACCGCCGTCGCCCCTGTCCACCCAGCGGTCGGCGCATGCCGGTTCATCACGGCACGGACCCCGCGCATTGCCCCGCCTGCTGTGTCTGCACTCAGGGACGGCAAGGAGGTGGAGTGTGGACACAGGGACGCCTCCGCTCAGACGTCAGCAGGTGGCCTCCCGCATCGAGCAGGTAACCTCCTACAGCGGGCCTTTGTCTCCCCGGTGGCGATGTTCACACACCGACTCTCATTCAAGGCTGAGTCGACCTCGGAGAGACCCGGGACCGGTGGAGATGATCGTCACCGGGAGTCGAACTCGAGCGGCTGCGTTCGTAGCGCAGCGCGCTAACCGCTGCACCACCGCTCCCCTAAAATCGACACACGCACACACACAGACAGAGACACACACACACAGAAACATACACGCAGAAACATACACACACACACACGCAGACACACACGCAGAAACATATCCACACGCAGACAGACACACAGAAACATACAAAGACAAAGATCCCCTGTATAGCCTTAACAGACTGTAGGGGCAAGTGCTGTTAGCGAGCACCTATGAAGTCGGGCACGGCACACGAGGGGGTGGGTGGCCAACACCACGCCCGGCCGCCTTTGTCTCCCCATTGGCAATGTTTACTACACACCGCACCGGGTACTCATCTGAGGCTGAGTCGACCCGGGGGAGGCCCAGGACCGGTTCAGATAATCGTCACCGGTGTTGGCCGTGAGCGGGATTCGAACTCGGGTCGCCGGGTTCATAGCGCAGCGCAGCGCTAAATGCTGCACCACCGCTCCCACACACAGAAGCACACACACACACACACCACGATAAGACTCGCACTCCAACTTTACATTTAAAATGTACATGCGAACACAGTTCGTATTATAATCCTGATAGTGCGGTGTAATTATAATCATCGTGATCGTCGCATCAAATTACTTCAAATGACTTCGCGGGCCACGGATTTTTGGTTTACCGCCGACACTTTTAAGAGGGTAAAAAACTGTTCACGGTTTGCGATTTGGCAGCCTAATTAGGCTGGAATGTAGTAGTAGTAGTATCATTATCAATTATTTTTACTATTATCAGGACTAAATGTTGCGTGGCGTCCAGACTGAACAGGAGACGGTGGGGGGAGAGGTGGGGGGGGGGGAGGTGGGGGTGAGGTGAGGGGGGGAGGTGGGTGGAGAGGTGGGGGGCAGAGGTGGGGGGAGAGGTGGGGGGCAGAGGTGGAGGTTGGGGGGTAGGTGGGAGGGGTGGTGGGAACGAGGTGGGGTGTGGGAGGTGGGGCGGGAGGTGGGGGGGAGGTGGGGGGGAGGTGGGGCAGGAGGTGGGGGGGAGGAGGTGTGAGGCAAAGGTGGGGGGGGTCAGGGGGGGTCATCAGCTGTGGGGAACCCCGCGCCATCCATCTCCCTGACCACTCACGGGGGGGGGGGGGGTCATCATCGCGTCTCACTGAAGACGTCTTGACGGGTCGTTAGTGACACGCACACACTGCCGTCGTCACGACCCCTTAATCCACCCTCCCACACCCCCCTCCCCCCCACACACACCCTCCACTCCTCCAGCCAGTTGACCCAGGCGGGGTCAACTTTCACCCAGCAGCAGCAGCAGCAGTTTGCGCTGTTGCCCCTCTGCACGTGCACGGAGTGCGTGGCGGCTACGAGGGACGCGCAGACTCACCGTTAGCAGCGTTGTGGCTTCAGTGGATGGGTTGGGTGAGTGGGTGAGTGACTGCGAGCGAGTGAGCGGGCGAGTGGGTGAGTGATTGCGAGTAAGCCAGCTCAACTGCATCAGGAGCGGCGGAGTGTTATCATCGCTGCGATGTCTCTTTCGTACATTTGTGGATTGGATGTTGCGTCACACGTTGTGAGATCCGTTCTGGATGACCACAGTCGCGCCACTATTGGCGAGTGTTTTGATGTTCCATTTGTGCATCAGCTATCCGCATCCGCTGCCACGGTTTGTGCGGTGGATGCGATTCAGGGTGGACCATGAGCTTCTTGGAACGGCAAACCCAGGGGAGTTCTGTGTTGGGTCTTTCTCAACAAGGTGTTTGTTGGTTCTCTTGAACTCCATTCAGCTGTCTAAGATTCGTGGGGGTTGAAGTCGCATCGTTGAAGGTGAAGCGCCGTGGGTCCAAAAGGGCTTGCCGCGCGACTTCAAGCGATGACGAGGGACGTTGTTGAGGTCCCGATGATTGAGAAGGGGCGACTGTTTTCCTCGATTCGCGGGGCTTCCCGGTGGGTTGCAGCGTTGCGGCGGGTGGGTGGGTGAGAGATTCGGTGAGAGCACGGGCAGCCCCAGGGTGTTGGGGTCGACTTGAGGGTACCAGTGATAGACCGCATTGCAGGGTTCAGTTGGACATCATCGAGTCAAGTGGTGACTACCTCTGGTCCATGCTGGTGCACAGTATTTGGCTACACAAGCGCCATCGTTGATGCCCCTAGCACTGAGGGTGCTCGCCAGTTTCTGGACCAGGCCGACCTTTGTTTTGGTCTTGGCGGCCTCCTTTTTCAGGTGGTCACGGAAGGTTGGCGTCGGGTCCAGCTTCACGGCGAGAAAGGTCGGAGCGGGGTCGTGTCGCACGGTGCTACCGCAGAAGGTTACTTCCACAGTGTGCTTGGGGCTCTTACTATCAAGATTAAATGCAGGATCTGTTTAGGTCTTGGTTCAGAGTGGATTCGAGTTCCTCGAAAGTTGTTGCTTGCGTTGCCAGGGCAAGGTCATCCGCGTGTACAAGTTTGCATGACCCGGTTGGCGGCATGTCGCTCGTCTAGACATTGAAGAAGAGCGTTGGGGTGAGTACTGAGCCTTGCGGCAAATCCACTGTTGAGGACCCGGGGTGAGCCGGTTTCGTCGCCCATTTAGACACGCGGTCGCCTATTTCTCGGCATCGTTAATATCAAGTGCATCGTTTTGAGGCAAGGAATGGTCCTTGCGAGCTTCAATATCAATTCGTTAATCCAGACGGTGCCGTAGGCCGATGACAAGTGCACAAAGGCCGCGCGGGTTTTGAATTTATTCTAGAATCCCGGCCTCGATGTGGGTCGCACGGAGCCAAAACTTGGTCACAGCAGCTGCTGCGTCCAGGCCGGAATCTTGCTCTCGTTCTTCAGGGATCACCGACTCGACGAGGGGGCTGATTCTCCGGAGGATGATGATGATGCTTTCCAGGAGTTTATAGGTCGTGCACAGTAGTGACATTGGCCAATAGTCCGGTTTGGGTATTGCAATTCTCATCGCCTCCTGGCGTGCATTTGGGACGCATCCTTTTTACATGGTGTTGGTGTCCAGGTTTGCCAGCCACTCGAGTCCCCTAGGGCCTAAGTGATGGAGGCGATTCTGGTGGGATACCATCTCTGCCAGCAGACTTTGCCTTTCTTCATTTCAGCCAGGCCCTCGCGAAGTGATTGGGTGGGTGAGTGAGTGAGCTATTGTGACCTGCAGTGTGGTGGTGGTGGTGGCGGCGGCGGTGGTGGTTGAACACAGGGATGTGGTGGTGATGATTGTGGTGGTGGTGGTGGTGATCGAGGCAAAAGAGTCCGTGTGTGGCACAGGCCGAGCCGCCTCCCACACGGCTGGAGGAGGAGTCCGGCGAGTGACGTTCACGGGAGCCGTGACCGCCGTCACGGCGATGGAAGGGCAGAAAAAAATATCGTCCGGCGGGGTGACCTCTGGGTCGACCTCATGCCTCGTCGCGCCCCTTGGCACTCTTCCACAAACCCTAACTCCGTTAAGATCTGGGCCCCCTCCCACCCACTCACCCCACCTCCCTCCCCTCCCCACCACAACCAAAGATGAAAAAAAATCGAGGTTTTGACACCTTGCTTCCTCGCTGGGGGGAAGGAGCCTTACATCTCGTGCGACGGCCGATGATGAATCTCTCGCCGCCGTCACCGCCACCATTGCCGTCGCGCGAGAAATCCGCCGGCGTCCCCAGGTGGCCTCCGGGCGGCTTGACGAGACGGATTATAGCGGCGGTGGTGGCGGTGGTGGCGGTGGCGGTGGTGGTGGCGGTGGCGGTGGCGGTGGTGGTGGTGGTGGCGGTGGTGGTGGTGGTGGCGGTGGCGGTGGTGGTGGAGGTGGTGGTGGCGGCGGTGGCGGTGGTGGTGGCGGTGGCGGTGGTGTGGGCGGTGGCGGTGGTGGCGGTGGTGGTGGTTGTGGCGGTGGTGGTGGTGGCGGTGGTGGTGGCGGTGGCGGCGGTGGCGGTGGTGGTGGCGGTGGCGGTGGTGTGGGCGGTGGCGGTGGTGGTGGTGGCGGTGGTGGTGATGGTGGTGGTGGTAGTGGTAGCGGTGATTGCGGCAATGGTGGTAGTGGCGGTAGTGGTGGTAGCAGTGGTGGTGGCGGTGGTAGTAGTGGCAGTGGTGGCGGTGTTGGTGGCGGTGGAGACGGTGCCGGTGGTCGTGGCGGTGGTGGCGGTGGTGGTGGCAGTAGCTGTGGTGCTAGTGGTGGCGGTGGTTGTAGCGGCCATGGTGGTGTTGGCAGAGGCGGTGGCGATGATGGTGGCGCTGGTGATGGTGATAGCGGTGGTGGCGGTAGTAGTGGCAGTAGTGGTGGTGGTGGCATGCGGGAGCTCCGATGGGGCTTGAGAGCGCAGCGTGAATGATTGCTCTGCTCTCGACCCACTCGTTATTGTTTGTCCTCTAACTCCAGCCCTTGGTGTTGATGCGCAGAGCCGCGTCACAAATCCCTCCAACGCCGTTTGCTTTACGTTCGCGATCTTTTTCGATTGGAGACTTCTTTTTTTATTTTAACCTTTTTATTTTTACGCGATATTTTTATGATTATTTTTATAGTTTGTCAATTTTAGCGGGTTTTTTTTCTTTTTACATTGACATCCCTATATTTCGTTTTAAAGCTTTCGTGACTGCAGGGATTCATATTCTTGGTTCTTTCGGTAAAGTCACGTAGAAGGGAAATGATAACATTTTATTGTTTTATTTTTATCATCTTATTATTTCCCTTCTCCGTGACTTTACCGACAGAACCAAGAATATGAATCCCTATATTTACTTATTTTATTCTTATTTTCTTTCGTCTTTCTTCCAAATCCTCTGGGAGTTACGATCTCGCCCCGCCGGCTTCCGTCACGCATCATATTGCCCCCGTGCCTTGCTCAATCCACTGCTGGACGAAGGGCCTCCCCGAGGATCTGAATGCCGCCCCGAGCCGTGTGTGGGGGCCTCCCATTCAAAGCAAAGGGGCGCTGCGGTGGTGAGCAGATGTTAACTCCCTTGCCTGGCATACAGGAGGTGCGGCACGTTCTGCACGATGGAAAATTTGCCGAGGAGGTCGATGCCAATGTCGAGGTCTTGCTGCTGCTGTCACGACGAGAGGGCTTCAGCAGACAGACCGCAGTGGATTTACTCTACGACCAATGAACGTGCATTGCCCATAGACTTACATTGCCCATAGACTAACATTGCCCATAGACTTACATTGCCCATAGACTAACATTGCCCATAGACTTACATTGCCCATAGACTAACATTGCCCATAGACTTACATTGCCCATAGACTTGCATTGCCCATAGACTTACATTGCCCATAGACTCATATTGCCCATAGACTTACATTGCCCATAGACTTACATTGCCCATAGACTCATATTGCCCATAGACTTACATTACCCATTGACTTACATTGCCCATAGACTTACATTGCCCATAGACTTACATTACCCATAGACTAACATTACCCATTGACTCACATTGCCCATAGACTCACATTGCCCATAGACTCACGTATCCCATAGACTTACGTTACCCATAGACTCACATTGCCCATAGACTTACATTACCCATAGACTCACATTGCCCATAGACTTACATTACCCATAGACTCACATTACCCATAGACTCACATTGCCTATAGACTCACATTGCCCATAGACTCACGTATCCCATAGACTCACATTGCCCATAGACTCACATTGCCCATAGACTTACATTGCCCATAGACTTACATTACCCATAGACTTACATTGCCCATAGACTTACATTACCCATAGATTTACATTGCCCATAGACTTACATTACCCATAGACTTACATTGCCCATAGACTAACATTACCCATAGACTAACATTACCCATAGACTTACATTACCCATAGACTTACATTGCCCATTGACCCTTTAAGGGACTGCGTCTTGACGTTGCTCATTAAGGGCCCCACCGTTTCCGGGGAATTCACCGCGGGTGCTGCGGTGCGGCTCTTGAAATGTTGAGTGGTCTTTGAGTTTCTTGTTTTACCGAATTCCAGGGAAAATGTCTCCACTTGTTATTGTTGGTTGCCAACTCACCCCAGGCCTCAGGGGCGCCTTCCAAATGGGACCGTTGCTCCGTCTCCTTCGCCTGGCTGACGCCAGAGAGGCAATTCCACGTGCTCATGGCAAGGCAAAGTGGAATGTCTGTCCATAGGGTGACGATTACTTGACCACGTGGGCCTGACAACGAGAGTGTTGCGTCCCCCGGGTGATGCCGGCTTAACCAATCACAGAGACGCGATGATGAACGGCAATGATGATGATATCAGTGGTGATGGTGACGATAACGACAACGGCGACGGTGATGATGATGAGGATCGTGAAAATGATGATGATGAAAAAATTATGATCTTGATGATTTCTATGCAAACGATGATGAGCGAGGTTTAGCAATAAAAGGATGGGAATGAAAACAAATTATGATAATAATAATGATGATGATGATAACGACTGATTATTGTGATGATAATGATGATGACTGCTGAGAGATCGTTGTTATCGACCGACCCTGGGTGCCCTGTGGCCCCGTAGGCTGCCCACACTTAACCCCTCGCGATATTAACCTCCCGTCTCATCCTCCCCGCAGGAACTGCACGAGAATCGCCTCCATATCTCACCGGGCCGCCCCCAGCTGCCCCCGAAGCCGGTAAACTCACGACACCGCCGCCGCCACCGGCGACCTTGACCGAAACCACGACCCCCCCGGGGGTCGCCGGCTCTGTCCTCTCGACCGCCGTGAGGGTCGTGACCTCCGCATTTGCCGGGTTTTTCGCCACGACGATACAAACGCCGACGGTGGTGGCGCCCGCCGGTGTTGGGAACGCCGGGACGCCAGCGCCGCCCGAGGTCACCGGTGCCGCAGCTGAACAGGGTGATGCCGCGGCCGAAGAAGCTGAAGAGGGTGGTGCCGCCGCTGAAGAGCGTGGTAGTGCAGCTGAAGAGGGCGGTAGTGCGGCTGAAGGGAGCAGTAGTGCAGTTGAAGAGGGCGGTAGTGCAGCTGCCGAGGGCGGTAGTGCGGCTGAAGGGGGCGGTAGTGCAGATGGAGAGGGCGGTAGTGCAGATGAAGAGGGTAGTAGTGCAGCTGAAGAGGGCAGTAGTGCAGCTGAAGAGGGTGGTGCCGCAGCAGAAGAATCTGAAGAGGGTGGTGCCGTAGCTGAAGAGGGCGGTGCTGTCGCTGAAGAGGGCGCAAGTACAGCTGAAGAGGGTGGTGCCACAGCTGAAGAGGGTGCTGTTACAGCTGAAGAGGGTGGTGCTACAGCTGAAGAGGGCAGTAGCACCGCTGAAGAGATTCGTGCCGCAGCTGAAGAGAGTGGTTCCGCAGCTGAAGAGGGTGGTTCTGAAGCTGAGGGGAGTACTGTTGCTGAAGAGGGTGGTAGCGCCGTTGAAGATGGTGTTAGTGTAGTTGGAGAGGGCAGTAGCGCTACTGAAGAGGTCGGTAGTGCAGCTGAAGAGGGTGGTAGCACCGCTGAAGAGGGAAATAGTACACCTAAAGAGGGTGGTGCCACAGCTGAAGACGGCAGTAGCACAGCTGAAGAGGGCGGTAGTGCAGCTGAACAGGACAGTAGCGCAGCTGGAGAGGGCAGCAGCACAGTTGGAGAGGGTGGTACCGCAGCTGAACAGGGTGGTAGTGCAGCTGAAGAGGGCGTTAGTGCAGCTGAAGAGGGTGGCTCCGCAGCTGATGAGGGCAGTAGTGCAGCTGAAGGCAGTAGTGTAGCTGAAGAGGGCAGTAGTGCAGCTGAAGAGGGCGGTAGTGCATCTGAAGAGGGCAGTAGTACAGCTGAAGAGGGCGGTAATGCAGCTGAAGAGGGCGGTAGCGCCATTAAAGAGGGTGGTAGTGCGGCTGAAGAGGTCGGTAGTGCATCTGAAGAGGGCAGTAGCGCAGCTGAAGAGGATGGTAGTACAGCTGAAGAGGACGGTAGTGTAGCTGAAGAGGGCAGCAGCGCCGCTGAAGAAGGCGGTATCGCAGGCGAGGCGTCGGTGTTGGGGAAGGGTGATGTCGGTGGCAGTGGCAACGCCTCTTCCTCCAACGAGATCATCGGCAGCGCGGCCGGACCTGGCACGGTAAAACACGCTCGCCCCCCCCCCCCCCCAATACCACCACCACCAGCCATGGTCTATCCACTGCTGGAAGAAGGCCTCCTCCAGGCGTGGCCATCCCTCGCGGCAAATGCCGTGACACTCCATCCGCACGCGAGGTTGAATCCGTCGCTTCACCCCGCGTAGACGACCCGACTGCAGTGTGGGCAGCCGCTCAGGTGGGATAGGCTTTAACAAAACGTGTCCCTGCTATCAACTGCCGGGCCGGAAGGTTGAGTACAGTGTGCTGACCATTGCATAATGCCGGCACCTGCAGCTTTGTATGCCGTGTAAATATAAAGCTAAGGCCCACTGCGCTGTGTAGCTCTCTTTCAGAAGCGACCAGGCCATCGCAAATGAGAGCTCAACGAAGTGGCTCAACACCAATCACGTGACGTTGATTCTAAACGTGGGGCGAAAAAAACGGAGGACCGTTAGAAAAATCCACGCGACCGCGGGGAGAGAGAGAGAGACACGGAAACTCCAAATATGCAGGCATCAGGGTCGGGATCGAACCCACGACCTCCTGTATACCAGGCAATGGATAGATGAAAAGCAATGAGATGGACATACTCTTTGGTTCTATTCGGTAAAGTCACGTAGGGAAAAAATAAAATAACAAAAATCACGACGTCATGGGCTTCTTGGGTTTGAATTAGCTAAGTATCGAGCAGATTAGCCAACACTGATGTTATGGATGAGCAGGGCCCAATGCAGATTTCTTCTTGCACCAAGTGATGTGAGGTCGTATTTTAAGTAGAGGTCACAATGCTGGGTCCTGTACGGTACATCCAGTGCAAAGCACAGAGCAGAATGGTGAAGCGCCTTTAGCATAAAATTTTGATTTAAAGCTTTCGTGACTGCAGTAATTCATATTCTTAGCTCTTTCGGTAAAGTCACGTTGAAGGGAAAAAATAAAATAATAAAATATATATAAAACAATAAAAATTCTCACGACGTTTCGACCATAACACAAACGGTCGTCATCAGGTGTGAAAAGCAGCAGCAACAAACATTTGAAAGAAGACTTCTTTTTTCACACCTGATGACGACCGTTTGTGTTATGGTCGAAACGTCGTGAGAATTTTTATTGTTTTATATATATTTTAGTATTTTATTGTTTCCCTTCAACGTGACTTTACCGAAAGAGCTAAGAATACGCCTTTAGTATGTTTAGCGATGAATCAGTAGCTGGTCTGCAAGCGGGGTCATAGTCGTCAAAAAGTGGAAGAGTGATAGCTTCAACAATTTGCAGGCGCAACCAAAACATATGTCCACAATTCTGGCTGTCGCCTGATGATGCTGGTTGTTGTAATTACCGGCGAAACTTCATGACTACTCGAATTGTTAACGATGTTGTGGGTTTTCTCTCCGACACACAACCGCTTAGTGCTGAACTAGTAACGAATTGGGCACTTTTTGTTTCCGTGACAAACCTTACCAATCGGTGGTGGCCGATTGAACGACCAGATTTATATATATTTACGTGATCTAACCGGAAAAACATAATAACCTCTATTATGGATAACATTTGGTTGCGAAAGCCATAACCTACTACTACCGTTGCTACGTGTTAAACTGCAAAATCAACATTTGATCTCTGTTAAAGAAAAGAAAAACACTCTTAGTGACCGGAGCCTCGCTCGCGCTGTGTGGCGTTGTGTTTGGGCAACGTGGGGGCCGGCGGTGGCGTCCCGCAGGAGCCGGCCCTTCCCAACGCCGTCCCGGAGCACCCCCTGGTGCAGGTGGTGGAGTTCAGCGTGCGCGTGACCCAGCCCGTGCCCTGCGTGGCTCCGCCCAACTCCATGCAGCTCCACCGGATCACCGAACAACTCCGACGCAAGGTGCGCTCGCGGCCGCGAGTACGCACGCTTTACCGCGCCGCCGCCACCACCACCTCCACCGCCGCCACAGCGTGCGTGCGCGCGCGCGCGGCCTGCGGTGTCAAAAAGAGATTGATTGCAGCCGAAACGGCCTGGAACGGCCTGGAACGGTCCGGAACATCGGAACGTCGGAACAGTCGGCGCGGACCGGAATGGCTCGGAACGTCGGAATGGTTCGGAACGTCGCAGCGTCGGCACGGTCTGGAACGGTCCGGAACGTCGGCACGGTCCGGAGCGGTCCGGAACATCGAAATGGTCCCGAACGTCGGAACATCGGAACAATCCAGAATGTCGGAGCATCGGCATGGTCCGGAACAGTCTGGAACGTCGGAACATCGGCATGGTCCAGAATAGTCTGGAACGTCGGAGTGGTCCGGAACGTCGGAATGGTCCCGAACGTTCCGGAATGTCAGAATGGTCCCAAACGCCGGAGCGGTCCGCAACGGTTCGGAACGCCGGCGGCAGTCCGGAACGCCAGAACAGTCCAGCATGCTAGAACGGTCTGGAACGCCGGTACGGTCCGGGAATGGTCCGGAACGCCAAAACGATCCGGAACCGTCCGGAACGCCGAAACGCCAGAACACCGTTCCGAGAATTATTTTGGCACCCGGCTGCATCCATCTACCCTTGTGGCTGGTTACAAACCACCCATTAATAGGACTAGAGGGAGAATAACGTAGGAATATTATGGATATGTATTGCTTGTAACTCTAGTGGTAGTGCCTCATGCCGATAATCTCTACTCTGAGCCAGCCTTGCAGCATCGCGGAAAACATCGATTCAGAAACGTAGCACTCGAGGAAAACGAACTACTATTTTAATTAATAGGTGTAAGGTCCACTGAGCTGTGTTCCTCATCATCATCATGTGGACATTTATATCTAGCAACCAAGTTACTTAAACGCGTGACGTTGATTCCAAATGTGGAGGGAAAAACCGGAAGACCCACAGAAAATCAACGCGACCACGGAGAGAGATCGAACCCACGACCTCCTGTATACCTGTCAAGGTAGTTAACATCTTCAAGCCGCCGTGATGATGGTGAGAGAGAGACGCAAACTCCAAATATACAGCAGGCGTCAAGGTCGGGACCGAATCCACGACCTCCTGCGTATCAGGCGAGGGAGGGAACACCTCGCCAGGGAATCGAACGGGTGACCTTTGGATGGCGAGTCCAGTGCGATACCGACCGCTATACTACTGCCGTGGTAACAGTGCCTCCAATTAGCACGGTTGGCTATGTACGGTGCGAAAGAAGTTCAACATACATACATAGACATAGTCACTCACCCACTCACATAGTCACTCACCTACTCAGTCACTCACCCACTGACACAGACACTCACCCACTCACATAGTCACTCACCCACTCACATAGTCACTCACCCACTCACATAGTCACTCACCCACTCACACAGTCACTCACCCACTCACATAATCACTCACCCACTCACACAGTCACTCACCCACTCACATAGTCATTCACCCACTCACATAGTCACTCACCCACTCACACAATCACTCACCCACTCACATAATCACTCACCCACTCACATAGTCACTCACCCACTCACACAGTCACTCACCCACTCACACAATCACTCACCCACTCACACAGTCACTCACCCACTCACACAGTCACTCACCCACTCACATAGTCATTCACCCACTCACATAGTCACTCACCCACTCACACAGTTACTCACCCACTCACACAGTCATTCACCCACTCACACAGTCACTCACCCACTCACATAGTCACTCACCCACTCACACAGTCACTCACCCACTCACATAGTCACTCACCCACTCACACAGTCACTCGCCCGCTCACACAGTCACTCGCCCACTCACACAGACACTCACCCACTCACACAGTCACTCGCCCACTCACACAGTCACTCACCCACACTCACCCGTCCTTCGATTAGCACGGTTGGCTACGTACGGTGCCAAAGAAGCTCAACGTACGTCACCGCTTTACCCTGCTTTGATTCGATTCGATCTCCACGTTCTCTACCGGTGCATCCGGTGACCGCCGCGGCTTGATCACCCTCACGCGCCCACACGGGGGACGACCCGACAAACCCCTGGCGTCCGGAGTCCTCCGCTTGGTGCGAAATGCGTACATGGAACTCGACAACTTTCCACCGGCCACGGCCAACCTCCCCGGCCCGAAAACCGCCTCCACTACCCCCCCGCTTCCCACCCCCCCAGCGGACGGCGGAAAGGTCACGGCGAAGGTCGCGTGCGAAGGCGGTGTCGTTAGTCACGCGGTTGCGCGAGAGCGGAATAAATTATATGTCGGGTTTTTCGCGCCGCGGATTCACGTCTACATTCCAGCGGAGGTCGAATTGAGGAGGCGTTTTATTCAACATTCATTTTTTGGAGGAAGGTAAAGGCGCAGCTCCCCTCCCCTCCGCTGCAAGCGCTTTGCTCTCGCCACGCCCAGTCAGAAGGTGGCCTCCGAGGGAGGGCCGCTCTAGCGGAGGCGCCGCTTAGAGGGTACCCACGTTTTACGCCACCGGTGCCACCGGACGCCGCCGGACGCCGCCGCACGCGAACCTGCACACCGTTGACTAAACCGCGGTGGGCCGCGCCTGCTGGGTGGTGGACAGAAGCAGTGGCGGCTGAGCGTGGTGGGGGGGGGGGAGGGGGTGCGGGTGATTTTATAAAACTTCCCTCTATTGTTTTTCACTGCCCACCGGAGGAGATGGAGTCGAACCGTGGACCGATTCTGCGCTGCAATCTGGTGCGCACCTCCTCACCGCAGCACCGACACCCAAACTGAACTGTGATTTGATTTTGTTTCCTTTGCCAGGCGAGGCCCACGCAACACTGAGCTGTTCGGCTCTTTTGTTTGTTCCTCCTCTTTCAGAAGGGACCCTGGCCCATGACAAACGATGGCTCGATGAGGCAGCTTATTACCGTGGTGGTGGTGGCTGTGGCAGGCTCGTCACTCCGAACGCAATTGCCGAGTCGCGTTCGGGTTCGCGCGCGTGCACGCGGATGCGGCAGTGCAGGGGCGGGCGGGCGGTTGATGCATCGGCGGGTCGCGCTCTAATTACCGTTGATTTTATTTGGGAGGTCTTAAGCGGCGCACGGGAAATGATCATTGCGCCTTCGAAGCTACGCGCTGCGCGACCCACCCCCATCGAACGTCGCGGCCGTAGCCAAGCGGCGCGTCGTCAATTTAAGGGGCCTGCAAATTGGCGAATGCGCCCGTCGCCACTCCCGTCCAATTACGTCGGTCTAGCACGCGCGGTTATGATCGGTTGCATCAATTAGCGAGACGGAGCAACGGTCACTGGGGAGCGAGGTGGCGTGTCCCGTCCCCGATTAATGGGAGTGCGGATGAGAGGCCGCGCGCTTCGTAAGGAGCTTAATCGTGGCCGCCCCGAAGTTCGTCTGCTCAACGCGGGAACGTTGAGCGTGGGTTAGCGAGTGTAAGTTAAAGGATTAGCGAGCAAGGGTTAGAGGGTTCGCGACCGTAGGATAAAGGGTTAGCGAGCGAGGGTTAGCGAACGTAGGTTAAAGGGTTAGCGAGCGAGGGTTTGAGGGTTAGCGAGCGCGGGTTAGAGGGTTAGCGAGTGAGGGTTAGAGGGTTAGCGAGCGAGGGTTAGAGGGTTAGCGAGCGAGGGTTAGAGGGTTAAATTTCGATTTAAAGCTTTCGTGGAAATAAAATAATAAAAATAAAACATAATAAAATAAAATTCTCACGATGTTTCGGCCACAACACAAATAGCCTTCTTCAGGTGAAGGAACAGAACTGTCGGAACGACAGCGCTTCAATGAACACTGCTAAGCTTGACAGCGTCTTTTAAGCTGGGTGGGAAGAGCAGAGCGCCTTGACAAAGGAGTTTACATATCAACAGAAAAATTTAGCATTGAAGTAGCTGTGTTAATGTGTTGGATTAGCAAGGTGTTAAAGTCAGAAATTAGCATGTAACTGGGAGATTAGCATGATGTTAGTGTGAGGGATGAGCATGTAACTGGTCACGGAAGTAGCTATGTTAAAGTCAGAGTTTACATATCAAAAGAGGCATTTAAATTATTGACGCTAAAGATCTGCAACTACCTAACTATCATACAATAAGCCGATGTGAAAGAACTAAGTATAAACTACACCAATATAATAAATGTACTCAATATATTCTTCAATAAGTTGAGCTATTAACATAAAGTCACACCTAGACAAATACCAGTTAATGATATCATTGCCCATGTCGACGTGGCACTCAAGGGCCTGGGTCACATCGCTGCAGACGTAGCAAGATCTGAAAATCGCTGCAACCCTCAAAAACGCTAAGATGCCAGCTAGCAACATCAGCAAAGATGAGCGCTTTGAATTATCTCAATTAAAAAAGAGGGGATGACATTGTCATCCTCTCAGCCGACAAGGGCAATGCCACTGTCATCATGAACACAATAGAATATAACAACAAAATTCAGGAACTACTCAACGATGGCAGCTATGCAAAAATAAGAAGAGACCCCACCAACAGCCTCGTTAATAAAACCAACAAAATCATTTCTGATTCAACAACATTAATTGATCAAACCAAACAGTTCTCGTTGAAACCTTCTGCGGCCAGGCCACCCAATATTAATGGCCTTCCAAAGATACGTAAAGAAGATACACCCTTCGTCCCATCGTCTCTACTATCAACTCCCCCACCTACAAACTGGCTCGTTTTCTGTCTGAAATCCTGCGGTATTTTACAGGAAAAACCACCTCTGCGGTACTAAACTCTACTCACCTGGTATCGACAATCAAGGGTATTTCCCTGTCCCCAGACGACCTGCTTGTCAGTTTTGATGTGGTTTCCTTATTCACCAAAGTTCATGTACCTGACACCATCACAATCATTGAAGACTTGGTTCATCAAGGACTGCATACTGATGTACCCCCCCCCCCCCTGGTGAGACACTGCTTAACATACTTCACCTGGAATGGAACTTTCTACAAACAAACCGAGGGCACCCCAATGGGCTCCCCCCTATTCTCCGGTTGTAGCCAAACGTTTTCATGGAGAAATTTGAGACTGACGCCATCCAGACTGCCACTCTACGCCCGAACCTTATGGAAGAGGTACGTGGATGACACTTTTGTCATCTGGCCACATGGCTGGCCTGCTCTAGACCAATTCCTCGAGCCATCAGATTTACCATGGAAGTAGAAAAAGATGGCAAGCTACCCTTGAGCCACTCTGTCTACAGGAAAGCTACCCATATGGATCCTTACTTAAAACTGGATTCCCACCACCATCCATCCCAGAAGAATTCCCTCTTCAAGACTCTATACCATAGAGCCCAATGCATTTCCGACCAGGAACACATTGCCTGTGAACTAAAGCACGTACACCAAGCTCTCAAGGCTAATGGTTACTCCGACTACACAATCCGCAAAGCTATCGCTCCAACCATTAAGAAGGATCCTCTTGAGGAGCCATTCAAAACCATCACCTTACCCTACATTGCGGGAGTCACAAAAAATATCTCCAAAATCGGGAATAAACACAAGATCCAGGTCCGATTCAACACAGTACATCAAATCCGTGATCTGGTTCCGTCTGTAAAAGATGTGGTTCCAGACATACAGTACCCGGGCGTCTACAAACTAAGTTGCCTCTGTGGTAGCAGTTACATTGGAGAAACCAAACGACATATCTCGGACCGCATCCATGAACATAAAGCAGACTTGAAACACGGTATGACGAACATGTCAGCCGTGGCAGATCACTGTTATAATTCAGTGGGCTCACATGACATTTACTTCTCCACGACGGAGGTTCTCTGCAAGCCATCCGGCTACCATGAGAGATTCGTTCATGAGGCCATCCACATATCCAAACACAGAGACAATTTCAACCGAGAAGATCGATCCTGGCTTAGTAACCATTGGAAAGACGTTATAAACCATTTATGTTCCTGGCTTAGTAACCATTGGAAAGACGTTATAAACCATTTAGGTTCTTGATTGATTGTATTTTACGGTGACTTTCAGACCGCAGTCTATTCGCTGGCACTGCCTCTTAATACCTTTCACACGACAGTCAATGGTATGGTTTATAGCATGTTGTATAATAAATAGTATAATAGTGTAATGTTGAACGTAGGGGGCGGGCGGGTGGGGGGGGATGACGAAAGTCGTCGCCACTCCTTCAGCCAGAGCGAGCGTTGTCGATGTAGTATCGTGGTGTAAGTGTATATTAGTATAGTGTATAGTGTAGCGTATATTAGTGTAGTGTATAGTAGTATATATAAGTGTAGTGTATAGTCTAGTGTATATTAGTGTAATGTATAGTCGTGTAGTATCGTGGTGTAAGTGTATATTAGTGTAGTGTATGTTAGTGTAGTGTATAGTGTAGTGTATAGTCGTATAGTATCGTAATGTAAGTGTATATTAATGTAGTGTGTAGTGTAGTACATATTATTGTAGTGTATAGTGTAGTGTATATTAGTGTCGTGTATAGTGTAGTGTATATTAGTGTAGTATCGTGGAGTAGTGTATATGATTGGTGTATAGTGTATTTTAGTGGTGTGTAGTGTATATTAGTGTAGTGTATAGTGTACTGTACAGTTGTGTATATGTACGTTGAACGTCTTTCGCACTGTACGTAGCCAATCGTGCTAATTGGAGAATGGGTGAGTGAGTGGGTGAGTGAACATGTGAGTGGGTGAGTGACTATGTGAGTCTATGTGTGTGTATATATGTTGAACTTCTTTCGCACCGTACCTAACCAACCGTGCTAACAACAAACTGAACACAATGATGACGATTGTGACGATTTAGCCGGCCCAGTTTTACGCCCGGAGTGGGGACGGAGGGAAGTTTTGGGTCATCTTAATGGCATTGTAAAGAGAGGAAATGGGTGAGGGGTGTGGAAGACGCGTCTGTGGTGGCACCACCGGGACTCGGGCCCCCCAGCCATGGGCGAATCCATGGTTGGCACGGGGCGACGTTGACGGCACGCCGCGTTGATTCTCGCTCGAATTGAAGTCCCCCCTCCCCTCCCCCCCCCCCGTTCGTCGACTGTCCCCGCCCCTCGTCTTGCACGCGCAGATGCTGCCCGTGTTTGAGAAGATGCCCGGATATAAGAAGCTGCACGTCCTGGGTTTCCGGTAAGCCAACGAAGGGACCCGGAGGAGGCTTAACGTGGCGGGGTGGCGGTGACACACACAGTGGGCAGGCAGAGCAATGCCGACGAGGCCCGCCACGTGCCGCGACAGCGAGTGACGGTGACGTCACCATGGCTGATGGGGGGACAGGGGGGAGGAGGATGTGTAGCTGAGGGGACTTTGCCGAGTCACCGGAGGTCAGCGGTGTCACGATCGGCCTCTGTGGATAGGGCTCGTGAAGGACGCTGCTGCTACTGGGAAGTTGGAGGCAGTCGCCCTCCGGCTACAACGGAGGGCAGAGGAGCGACGCTCACAACAACGAACGGAGCGCCGGGGCGGCTAAAACGCATCGAGTTGGCACATCTCAGTCAGTCAACCCACGGCACCTGCTGGGTCTGTCCCGTGACCACAGGATCGCAGCGCCCCCAGTTTTTCCGTTAGCCCTGCCCACTTCCACATAACCACACCCACCACCCCCCCCCCCAACTATCAGTGCCCCCCACATGGAGAGTATCCTCGCTATTCACGACAGCTGACCGCCAGCCACCCATCCGACCACCTACCGCGCTGCCCCCTACATCGGCAGACTATACCCATGATGGCCGGGCCGCTATGGAAACTGGCGCAAATATTACAATTGCACCAAGTTGCTGCCAGACTAGACCTGCCCATACCTGTGAACCCATGAGGTTTACCCCGTATTCTTGTACAGGGAAATTGAGTTTTCAGGTCCGTGCGGCCTACAGCTGTTTCAATACGGGAAAAACAAATCTATTTGTGTGTCTCCCTTGTGATGGGACTTTGTGGAATGAACGTTGAGATGAATATGAATTGGTCTGCATTAAGGTAGGCACTGATAAGGGGTTGACAGGTATGTACTTTACACACTACTGGACACTTATATACCCTACTATACAGTACACGATACACTACACTACTATGCACTATTATACACTACACTTCTATACACTATTATACACTACACTACTATACACTATTATACACTACACTTCTATACACTATTATACACTTCACTGCTATACACTACTCTATAAACTACACTATCATACCTGTCAACCCATACCGTTTACCCGTATTCTTGGACAGGGAAATAGTTTTCAGGTCCATGCGACGTACAGCCGTTTCAATACGTGCAAAAAAAGTTTTTTTTTTATCTATTTGTGTTTCTCCCTTTTGATGGGACTTTGTAGGATGAACCTTGATATTTATAAGGGGCACGGGGTGACCAATAAGGTGTCAATTGGTCTGTAGGCCACTGATCGGAGTTTACAGGCATGCCTGTCTGTCAAACACAGCGAAGTCTTCCTACAAGATGGCCGGCCGCCATGGAAAGTGGCGGAAATAAACAAATAGTGCGAAGATGCTGAGCCAGTAGCTGATTGGGCAAATTTTGTGTTCCGTGACAAACCCCTTGCTGATTGGCCGCCTCGGGGTGGTGGTGGCGGTGGTAGTGGCAGTAATGACGACACATTTATATTAACACGATCTACCCCCCCCTGCCCCCAAAACAAAAACAATCCTCTATTATGTACGAAGTTATCATCATGTTGATAAGAAAAAGGTGTTTTACTCTTTCTGGCAACAAAACAGGAGGTATTAAGATGTTTAAAAACTAAATAGAAACCTTTTGCAGGAATGCTGTCTGCATTACGACACGCAGTACTTTCTCTAATAATATTTGCATTGTCTGTGAAACTGATTGGTCCACACCATGCATATATTATCAGATAATGTGTTTTTTTTCGTGTGTTCGCCACCAGTACTGTGTGTGGTTAATGCAGACAGGACTCCTTGCAAAATGTTTCTGTTTGGTGTTTTAACATCTTAACACCTACTGTTTATTGCCAAAAAGGGTAAAACCCCTTTTCTTATATTTTGATACTGGCAAGAAGGGTCCCATATTTGAATGCTCTAAATATGTATGGCATTGTCTTTAAAACTGGCCTACACCAGAGACAGCCTTCTTTAGGGCCTCGTCTCACCAGTGTCAGACCAGAGATCGCCAAAAGGCAAATAATAATCATCATCATGATGATGCTGATTATTATTATCATAGCGGACTATTATGTTTCATGTGTGACCAGGTGAGGCAGCAAGGAACCAGGATTCTCATTTGCAAGAGTTACCTGGGTTACCCACTATGATAAAAAAAAACAACTCAAATCAAATCCGAATTTGTAACAAAAAAATTATGCACGGCAAAACAAAGAGCAAGATTTAGATAGACATCGGCCAAACGTAACTGTCGCCGTGTACGCGTGAGACATTGGAAGAGAATCGCGCGAACGTCAATCAACAGGAAGCGATACATTCCCTGTCTCGCGCGGATTACCTTTCAGACCGATCGCAGGACAATTACAAAATTATGTCATGGAGACTTCAGGTGCGGGGGGTGGTAATCAGGCAGAGGCCCATCGCAAACTGAGTGACAACAAAGACAAAAGTCACCCGTATAGCCTGTAGCAGAGTGTTGGGGCAAGTGCTGTTAGCGAGCACCTATGAAGACCGGCGCGGTACGCGAGGGGGTGGGTGGCCAACACCAAAGGAGTGACACACAGGACACACACAGGCAGGCAGACAGACATTAGTATTGTTATTACTGCCCTCATTCAGCCTGGCGAGCCTCACACCGAGGTTTAAGACTTGTTCCCAGGAGGGTCCTGCCTCAGGTGTGCCGCGGTAGCCTCGCCTGGTGTGCAGGAGGTCGTGAGTTCGATCCCGACTCTGACGCCTGCTGCTGCTGTATATTTGGAGTTTGCGTGTCTCTCATCATCATCACGGTGGCTAGGAGATGTTAACTACCTCGCCTGGTGTACAGGAGGTCGTGGATTCAATCCTGACCCTGACGCCTGCTGCTGCTGTATATTTGGAGTTTGCGTGTCTCTCTCTCTCTCATCATCATCACGGTGGCTAGGAAATGTTAACTACCTCGCCTGGTGTACAGGAGGTCGTGGGTTCGATCCCGTCCCTGACGCCTGCTACTGTATATTTGGAGTTTGCGTGTCTCTCTCTCTCTCTCTCATCATCATCACGGTGGCTATGAGATGTTAACTACCTCGCCTGGTATGCAGGAGGTCGTGAGTTAAATCCCGACCCTGACGCCTGCTGCTGTATATTTGGAATTTGCGTGTCTCTCTCTCTCACATCATCATCACGGTGGCTAGGAGATGTTAACTACCTCGCCTGGTACACAGGAGGTCGTGGATTCGATCCCGACCCTGACGCCTGCTGCTGTATATTTGGAGTTTACGTCTCTCTCTCTCTCTTCCCGTGGTCGCATACATTTTTTTTCTCCGGGTCCATCTGCGGTTTCCCTCCACATTGAGAATCAACGTCACGCACTCGTCGTTATTTGGCTGCTGCTGCTGCTATACATTTCCACGCGACGATGATGATGACGACGAGAAGCCGCCACTTCGTTGAGCTATGATTTGTGACGGCCTCGTCGCTTCTGATAAAGAGCTACACAACAGCTCAGTGGGGCCGTACACCTGGTCAAAGAAAACAAAGTTTCAGTTTGCCGCAGTAGTCGAGGGGGTGATAGTGCTGCTACCGCTGCTGCTGTGTGATGCCGGATGAGTAATTTTGCCGTGCAATTTCTCAGCGTTGGGATGTTTTGGCCCATCGCGGTTACAAACCCGTGTGTGTATACACGTGTGTGTAAGTGTGTGTCTGTGTGGGTGCGTGTGTGTACGTGTGTGTGTGCGCGTGTGTGCATTTGTGTGCAAATGCACATGGTCGGGCAACTCTGTCGTGGACAGTGCTGTGGGGGGAGGGCCAATTCCGATTGGCTCCTCCCCTCATGGCGTCTGTGTCCACCACAGTGGCTAAACGGGGGCTCTGGACGGGTGTGAGGGGCTGGTAACCCCTCCACCTTAAATTAATTACCACTAAACCACGAGTTAAACTGAAAAATGTAACTAATATGCTTGTGCCGGAGGCCCCGGGGGGACAGGCGTCTATGACGTCTCTTGGCCAAACCACAATTGGCGGAGCCAGGAGATTGAATCTCTACCCTCGGGGCTCCTCCAGGAACAACGAAAAGCCACTACGGATGGCCACGTGGAATGTTCGAACGCTCACTGCGGAGGAGAGGCTGCCACTCCTCTGTCGGGAGCTGGACCGGTACTGCCTAGGTTTCTGTGGTATTCAGGAGGCCCGGTGGACCGGCTCTGGCTCCTGCCACCATGAGGGGTGGACAGTCCTCTACTTGGGGCAGCAGACCAACAAACAACAGGGAGTGGCTCTTCTTCTGAACAAAATAATGAAGGGGGCATGGGAGGGTGGCGGTGAGGTGTGGGAAGCTGTAAGCCCCAGGCTACTTTGGGCTCGCCTTCCCATCAACCGGAGGCGAGGAGTGGTAGTCGTGGTTCCTCATGCCCCCACCAAAGATGAACATCCGTGGAGGGATGCAGGCAAGGCCGATGATTCAGATGCCTTTTATGACCTCCTGTCACAGGTGCTGGCTAAAGTGGCCCCTCGAGATCGAGTCATCCTGTTGGGCGACTTCAATGCCCGAGTTGGTCACGATGCTGGCACCTGGTCTGGAGTGATTGGAAGGTATGGGCCAGATCAGCTTAATAACAACGGTAGGAGGCTGCTAGATGTTTGTGTAGGCCATGGGCTTGTAATTACCAACACGCTGTTCCGGCATCGGTGCATCCACACAACATCATGGATGCATGCCGGGTCCAAGCAATAACATCTGCTGGACTACATAGTGACGGAACAGCGGATGTGTGGCCATGTCCTTGACACAAGGACCTACCATGGAGCTGATCTGCCCACTGAACATCGACTAGTCATCTGTAAGATGCGCCTGCCATTATTCCACTCTGGTGGTGGGTGTACACCCAGGACCCCATTAAAACCCAAGGTGGCCTGGTCTCAGCTAGCTGATGAAAGTTGCAAGCGAGAATTTAATTATAGCTTGTGGCAGGGGTTGGCATCGTCCCCCACTCCTCCAGATGTCGAGGGGAAATGGGCGAGGTTTAGGACTGTGGCTCATGCAGCTGCAATGGCTGCTTTGAGAACATGTTCCAGACCTCCCCAGAGACCCTGGCTGACAGAGGAGGTTTTCAAGCTGGCTGAGAAAAAGCGACAGGCCCACTCTCATCGGCTACAGCATCCCACGTCAGAGAATGAGGAAGCTTACCGCAGCCTCAGCTCGGAGGTTCGGAGAGCTGTGAGGCGCTGCAAGGATGGGTGGTGGTCGCGGATTGCTGAGGAGATGGAGTCTGCCTCAATGGCCCGCGATCACAAATCGCTCTTCAACTCCATCAAAAAAGTGACCTGCAGCGCCACACCTATTACCATAATTAGGGGAAAAGACGGTGAAACAATCTCCGACCCCCAGGAACAGGTTTTGCAGATTTTCTGAGCATTTCTGTGAAGTCCTGGGGGTGTGGAAATCCCTTGGCATGGAAAACTTCGTGGGACAAAGTGGAGATTACCCTGCTGAGGCTGCAGTGTCTTAAATATTGGAAGAATAAGTCACTCCCTGTGAGTGGCTGGCTGAGGTGCTGTCTGTTGAGGAAGTACTAAAGGCGATCCAGAGTCTGAGACCAGGAAAGGTGATCTCCCAAGCGAAATGCTGAGGGAGGGTGGCGTTTGTGCAAGACTGCCCTACATGACATCATAACAACCGTCTGGACCACTGGATGGGTTCCGCAGGATTGGAAGGATGCCTTGGTGGTCCGGCTCTTTTAGAAGCGGGACCGCACAGACTTTAACAACTACAGTGGCATCTCACTCCTCAGTGTGCCGGGAAAGGTCCTCGAAAGGATTATTCAACATCGCCTTGCCAGGCACGCTGAGGAGAGGCTTGCAGAGCCTCAATGTGGTTTCAGGAAAGGGCGGTCCTATACAGATGCCATATTTTCTCTCCGTCTGCTACAGCAGAGGTGTAGGGAATTCCAACAAACCTACATACCTGCTTTATTGACCGAGTCAAGGCATATGATACCATCAGTAGGCCTGGGCTCTGGGTTATTCGTCGTGTTTTCGGAGTCCCTGACCCTCTGCTCACGATCATTAAGGACCTTCATGATGGTGAGCGGGCCCAAGTAAAACTACGTGGCCGGGAGTCAGAGCCATTCCCTGTTCACCTTGGGGTGCGACAGGGATTTCCTCTGGCTCCCACAGTATTTAACATATTTTTCGACCACGTAGTTCGTGAAGACTTCGATGGCTGTACCGAAGGAATTTCCATCTGGTACAGATACAATGAGAGGCTGATCGATGCCTGGGTGTAGTCAAGGTATGGCTCCCTATTAGTCAACCACGTTATGTATGCCGATGATCTGGTAAAATGCCGCTCACTCAGAGGAGAAGTTGGAGGCACTGCTGCTGAACCTGGAGCGTGCCACTAAGAGGTGGGGGCCTTACCATCAGCCCCACCAAAACTAAGCACCTTCCTGGGTATTTTGTTCCATCGTACACTCCACCCCCACAACTCTCAATTGGTGATGGGCAGTTGTGGAGAGAGTGGAGACTTTCCCATTCATGGGTAGTGTGCTCATGACCGGCTCCGGTTTAACAGCAGAGGTCTCACTCCGAATCAGTCGCGCGGCATTATCTTTTCATCGGTTGCATAACGCTGTGTGGAAGCGACCTGGTCTGTTGCACCGCACGACGTTTCAGGTCTTCCCGGCCATGGTCATTCTCTCCCTTCTCCATGCTTGCGAAACGTGGACCACCCCTACAACATCTTCGCCGGTTAGAAACATTTAGGCTGGCCTGCCTACGCCCCATCCTGGGTTCAACCAGACTGGATGGTGTGAGGAGCTCACAAATTCTTGAAAGATCTGGACAAAGTCCCATCGGTGAGCTCCTCTGGCAGGCAAGGCTGCGTTGGCTGGGTCATGTAGCCCGCATGCCCAGCCACCGCATGCCTAAACAGCTTTTGTTTAGCCGAATCGAGGAGTCTAAATGGGCATGGCACGGGCTAAACAAGAAATGGAGTGATGTGGTACAGGAGGATGTGGAGCTGAGTGAACTTGCTGATGACTGGTATCAGCGGTGTCAAGATCAGCCTCTGTGGAGGAGGCTCGTGAAGGACGCTACTGGGCAGTTGGAGGCAGTCGTAATCCAGCAACAACGGAGGGCGGAGGAGCGACGCTCGCAACAACGAGCGGAGGGCCGGGTGGCTAAAGCACAGCAAGTTGGCACAGTAGGGAGCACAGGTGGTGCATCAGCCAGTCATCTCAGTCAGTCGACCTTGGGCTTCCCCGTGACCTCCTGCCACTTCACGTGGCCTCAACATGTACATAGCCTGGCCAAAGCGTCGTGGTTACATCACCGCCACTTAGTGGCAAATGGCGGATGTTGTTGTTTGTGCGCGTGTGTGTGCGTGTGTGTTTAGCTTTTTTATTTTAATAAAAAGTAAAGAAAGAGCCTTGTGACTCCACTGAGCAAACGCCAAAACACAGCCACGCGGAGCGGAGAGGTGGTATTTGCGCGACAGAGATTAATTCACATTTAAGAAACATCGCGTGCGCGTGCCTGCGCGCGTTTGTGTGCGTGTGCACGTGTGTGCGCGTGTGCGTGCTTGTGTTTGTGCGTACGTGTGCGCGTGTGTGCGCGTGCATGCGTATGCGCGCGTGTACGCGTGTGTGCGTGCGTGTGCGCGTGTTTGCGCGTGCGTGCGTGCGTGTACGTGTGTGTGCGCGTTCGTGCGTGTACGCGTGTGTGTGTGCATGCGTGTGTGTACGTGTGTGTGTGTACGTGTGTGTGTGTACGTGTGTGTGTGTACGCGTGTGTGTGTGACCGTGTGTGTGTGACCGTGTGTGTATGTGCGTGCGTGTATGCGCGTGCGTGCGCGCGATGTCAACGGCGACGCCTTTGAAGTCATCAAATTGTGCAAGCCCGAGAATGTGTTTCATTCTCCGCGAGAGAGGGGGGGAGAGAGACATAGGGAGAGAAAGGAAGAGCAAAAGCGAGAGAGACAGAGAGAGCAAGGGGACAGAAACAGAGAGAGAGAGCAAGGGAGAGAGACAGAGGAGAGACAGAGAGAGAGCGAGAGCGAGGCGTTGAGTCTCTCTCTGGGGCCCTGGATGCGTCGTAAGGGAACCTTTTAAAATTCAGCGTCATTCACTTAACAGAGCGCGTGCCCCCCACTGAGACGTACGATCTCATTTCCCACTGGAGCGTGGGGGGGGGGAGACTTGTAGCGGTCTGGGCACACTTTGTAATCTCACCCCACCCTCCCCGTCGCACACAACCACCACCACCGCTACACAAAGACACATCATCATCACCGTCATCATCGGCCACGATCGATCCACTGCTGCATATAGTCACTCATCAGCTCACGTAGTTTCGATTTAAAGCTTTCGTGACTGCAGTGATTCATCTTCTTTGGTTCTTTCGGTAAAGTCACGTAGAATGAGAATAAAATAATAAATTGATAAAATAAAATAAATATTATTGTGTTATTTTATTTTATCAATGTATTATTTTATTCTCATTCTACGTGACTTTACCGAAAGAACCAAAGAAGAAGCTCACGTAGTCATTCACCCACACACTCACCCATCCGCCGATTAGCATGGTTGGCTACGCACGGCGCGAAAGAAGTTCAACGTATGTACACACGTCTTTATTTATCCCGTTTTAACACATACATACACACATACATACTCCATACCTGTCCACCCATTATCAGTGTCCACCTTATTACAGACCAATTCAGACATTATTGGTCACCCTGTGCCCCTTATAAATCTCAATATTCATCCTACAAAGTCCCATCACAAGGAGAGAAACACAAACAAATAAACAAATACGAATTTCTTTGCCCGTATTGAAACGGCTGTACGCCGTGTGGACCTGAAAACTCAATGTACCTGTACAAGAACACTGGGTAAACCGTGCGGGTCGAGCGCTCTGACCACCGTGCCACTCCAACCCCGATAGCGTCGCTCGTTCCTGTCAATTACCGCTTGCACCACCCACCCCGACTCACCCACCCACCACCCATCCACCTCCTCCCACCTCTCGTCCCACGTGCGTCCATGCGAGCGCAGGTGTGGCAGCAAGGTGGTGCACTACGCCACGGTCTTCCAGGGCGGTCGCCCCGGGCAACAGCAGCAGCAGCAGCAGACCAACAACAACAACAACGGGGAGGCCAAGCTCGTGGCTATGGAGACCAACCAGGTGGAGGGTGCGGGTGGCAGCCTCCCTCCTCCACCTCCACCGCCGCTGTCGGCCAGCCCTCGTCCTGAAGCGGGCGACGAGCTCGGACCAGGAGGAGTGGGAGCAGGTGGAGGAGATGGAGCAGCAGGCGGAGGAGGTGGTGGAGGAGCAGGTGGAGGAGGTGGTGCAGGAGCAGGTGGAGGAGGTGGTGCAGGAGCAGGTGGAGGAGGTGGTGGAGGAGCAGGTGGAGGAGGTGGTGCAGGAGCAGGTGGAGGAGTTGGTGGAGGAGGAGGTGGAGGAGGTGGTGGAGGAACAGGTGGAGGAGGTGGTGGAGGAGCAGGTGGAGGAGTTGGTGGAGGAGGAGGCCGTGCCGAGGAGACGCAGCCGAATGGACAGACGGATCATCCGAACGTCTCGCGGGAGGAGGAGGTGGAGGCTGTGGACTCCGATGACCTCCGCAATTCGGGGAGGAATCCAGGGTCGGCCGATGGCGACTCCGGTGATCGCCGTGGCCTTGAGGAGTTGGCCCACTCCGAGGAAGACCTGGGCGTTGAGGAGGAGCGGGAGGAGACCCACGAGTCCGAACGGGACGAGGACCTCGCTTTGGCTCCGGGAGCCAAGGGGGAACGAGGTGGAGATTACCCCCGTGAGGAGCGGGAGGAGGAGGCCGGGTGGGCCATGCCAGGGTCCATCCAGGCTCTGCCGCAAATGGTCTCGGACGCTCTGCACAGACAGCAGCGGCAACAGCAGCACCCCAAGGAGCAGCAGCTGACGGGAATTGACCCCGACTCCTTCCAGCTAACGCGCGGTGCGTCCCGCTGCTTCCCGCTGGGCCCTGCTGGGCCCCGCTGGGCCCCGCTGGGCCCCGCTGGGCCCCGCTGCGTGGCGTGTGTGGAGTGTGTGGAGGGTGTGGAGTGTGTGGAGTGTGTGGCGTGTGTGGAGTGTGTGGAGTGTGTGGAGTGTGTGGAGTGTGTGGAGTGTGTGGAGTGTGTGGAGTGTGTGGAGTGTGTGGCGTGTGTGGAGTGTGTGGAGTGTGTGGAGTGTGTGGAGTGTGTGGCGTGTGTGGAGTGTGTGGAGTGTGTGGAGTGTGTGGCGTGTGTGGAGTGTGTGGAGTGTGTGGAGTGCGTGGCGTGTGTGGAGTGCGTGGCGTGTGTGGAGTGTGTGGAGTGTGTGGAGTGTGTGGAGTGTGCGTTGTGTATACGGGGCATCTCTGTCTTCGGTGTGTTTGTGCGCGCTGCAGAATTCCTCACGGACCTCCCCGCGGACGCCATCCACTACGACCTGCAGATATCCTCAGGTACGACGACGCGGGTCAGGGGTGGTGCTTGCCCACACAGGTCCTGATGCTCGCCAACAGCACTTTGCCTCTGTTGTCGGAGCACGCAATCGCCAACCAGCTGCTCTCTCACCTGGACACGCGGCCACGCCACCTCACCCTCCCGCATCACGCAAGGGTAAAGGCGCAGCCCCTGAAATCTCTGGCGCACTCACGCACGCCGCCGCCGCTGGCGGGAGGGGCTTCCCCAACTCGAGCGAGCGGCCTAGACGTACGTTGGCCGACTCACCTCATTTTGCCGGCCCCGGCGATTTTTTGCCGGGTCCTACCGGTTGATTTGTAATCACACAACGATGAGAAACCACTTCGTTGAGCTACAACTTTTAGTGACCAGGTTGCTTCCGAGAAAGAGTTTCATCGCAGCTCAGTGGGGCTCTACCTGATAAAAAAAAATATAACATAGTTTGCTAAATTTTGATTTAAAGCTTTCGTGACTGCAGTAATTCATATTCTTAGCTCTTTCAGTAAAGTCACGTTGAAGGGGAAACAATAAAATAATAAAATATATTGCCGTTGGTTTTTTCACACCTGATGACGACCGTTTGCGTTATGGTCGAAACGTCGTTGAGAATTTTTATTCTTTTATATCTATTTTATTATTTTATTGTTTCCCTTCAACGTGACTTTACCGAAAGAGCTAAGAACATACATAGTTTGCTAGTTTAGTTTATAGTTTATTGCTTTACTTTATAGTTAAGTTCATAGTTTAGTTCATAGTTTCAGTCTACCCGCAGGTCCTCCGGCAGCCGCGGTGTTGGACGAGCGGGCGCCGTCGGCCGCCGCTCCGCCCCCAAGCGCGCCCGCGAGCATCCCCGTGGCGCCAACGGTGCCCGCCTCTCGCTCGGAGGCGGCGGGCGAGGTGCGTACCGCAGGGACGCCGCTCTCCTCCGGAACCGGGACGACCGACGGTCCGCCGACTCGGGCCGCCGACACGACCACGACAGCGGCCATCAAACCCGGCCCGCTCCTCTCCTCGCCGGACGGACGCGGCCTTGAAGGACCCCCCGAAGAGGCGCTCGTCCCCCTCGCTCCGTCCTCAGGGACGGAGGATGAGGAGGAGGAAGAGGAGGGGGAGGGGGTGGGGCAGGAGGGGCTGGAGGAAGAGGAGGTTCACGGCGACGTCACGAGCACGGAGCTCGCGGCGGCCGGGGAGTCGCGACGGCCGCACGCGGGAGTTGACGGAGCACCTGAAGCTGCAGCAGGAGCAGATCAGTCACCTGAAGCTGCAGCAGGAGCAGATCAGTCACCTGAACCTGCAGCAGGAGCAGATCAGTCACCTGAAGCTGCAGCAGGAGCAGATCAGTCGCCTGAACTTGCAGCAGGAGCAGATCAGTCACCTGAAGCTGCAGCAGGAGCAGATCAGTCACCTGAACCTGCAGCAGGAGCAGATCAGTCACCTGAACCTGCAGCAGGAGCAGATCAGTCACCTGAAGCTGCAGCAGGAGCAGATCAGTCACCTGAAGCTGCAGCAGGAGAAGATCAGTCACCTGAAGCTGCAGCAGGAGCAGATCAGTCACCTGAACCTGGAACAGGAGTAGATCAGTCACCTGAACCTGCAGCAGGAGCAGATCAGTCACCTGAAGCTGCAGCAGGAGCAGATCAGTCACCTAAACCTGCAGCAGGAGCAGATCAGTCGCCTGAACCTGCAGCAGGAGCAGATCAGTTGCCTGAACCTGCAGCAGGAGCAGATCAGTCACCTGAACCTGCAGCAGGAGCAGATCAGTCACCTGAACCTGCAGCAGGAGCAGATCAGTCACCTGAACCTGCAGCAGGAGCAGATCAGTCACCTGAACCTGCAGCAGGAGCAGGTCAGTCACCTGAACCTGCAGCAGGAGCAGATCAGTCACCTGAACCTGCAGCAGGAGCAGATCAGTCACCTGAACCTGCAGCAGGAGCAGATCAGTCACCTGAAGATGCAGCAGGAGCAGATCAGTCACTTGAACCTGCAGCAGGAGCAGATCAGTCACCTGAGCCTGCAGCAGGAGCAGATCAGTCACCTGAACCTGCAGCAGGAGCAGATCAGTCGCCTGAACCTGCAGCAGGAGCAGATCAGTCGCCTGAACCTGCAGCAGGAGCAGATCAGTCACCTGAACCTGCAGCAGGAGCAGATCAGTCACCTGAACCTGCAGCAGGAGCAGATCAGTCACCTGAACCTGCAGCAGGAGCAGATCAGTCGCCTGAACTTGCAGCAGGAGCAGATCAGTCACCTGAAGCTGCAGCAGGAGCAGATCAGTCACCTGAACCTGCAGCAGGAGCAGATCAGTCACCTGAAGCTGCAGCAGGAGCAGATCAGTCACCTGAAGCTGCAGCAGGAGAAGATCAGTCACCTGAAGCTGCAGCAGGAGCAGATCAGTCACCTGAACCTGGAACAGGAGTAGATCAGTCACCTGAACCTGCAGCAGGAGCAGATCAGTCACCTGAAGCTGCAGCAGGAGTAGATCAGTCACCTGAAGCTGCAGCAGGAGCAGATCAGTCACCTAAACCTGGAACAGGAGTAGATCAGTCACCTGCACCTGCAGCAGGAGCAGATCAGTCACCTGAAGCTGCAGCAGGAGCAGATCAGTCACCTGAACCTGCAGCAGGAGCAGATCAGTCTCCTAAACCTGCAGCAGGAGCAGATCAGTCGCCTGAACCTGCAGCAGGAGCAGATCAGTCGCCTGAACCTGCAGCAGGAGCAGATCAGTCACCTGAACCTGCAGCAGGAGCAGGTCAGTCACCTGAACCTGCAGCAGGAGCAGATCAGTCACCTGAACCTGCAGCAGGAGCAGATCAGTCACCTGAACCTGCAGCAGGAGCAGATCAGTCACCTGAAGATGCAGCAGGAGCAGATCAGTCACCTGAACCTGCAGCAGGAGCAGATCAGTCACCTGAGCCTGCAGCAGGAGCAGATCAGTCACCTGAACCTGCAGCAGGAGCAGATCAGTCGCCTGAACCTGCAGCAGGAGCAGATCAGTCACCTGAACCTGCAGCAGGAGCAGATCAGTCACCTGAACCTGCAGTTGCAGAAGGAGGACACGAGTCACCTGAATCTGAACCTGCAGCTGAAACAGGAGTAGATGAGTCACCTGAATCTGAACCTGCAGCTGAAGCAGGAGCAGACGAGTCACCGGAACCTGCAGCTGCAGCAGGAAGAGATGAGTCACCTGAACCTGAACCTGCAGCTGCAGCAGGAGGAGACGAGTCCCCTGAACCTGAACCTGCAGCTGCAGCAGGAGTAGATGAGTCACCTGAACCTGCAGCTGCAGCAGGAGCAGATGAGTCACCTGAACCTGCAGCTGCAGCAGGAGGAGATGAGTCACCTGAACCTGCAGCTGCAGCAGGAGGAGATGAGTCACATGAACCTGAACCTGCAGCAGAAGCAGGAGGAGACGAGTCACCTAAACCTGAACCTGCAGCTGCAGCAGGAGACGAGTCACCTGAACCTGAACCTACAGCTGCAGCAGGAGGAGACGAGTCACCTGAACCTGCAGCTGCAGCAGGAGCAGACGAGTCACTTAAACCTGGACCTGCAGCTGCAGCAGGAGTAGATGAGTCACTTGAACCTGAACCTGCAGCAGGAGTAGATGAGTCACCTGAACCTGAACCTGCAGCAGGAGTAGATGAGTCACCTGAATCTGAACCTGCAGCTGAAGCAGGAGCAGACGAGTCACCAGAACCTGCAGCTGAAACAGGGGTAGATGAGTCACCTGAACCTGAACCTATAGCTGCAGCAGGAGGAGATGAGTCACCTGAACCTGAACCTGCAGCTGCAGCAGGAGTAGATGAGTCACCTGAATCTGAGCCTGCAGCTGCAGCAGGAGTAAATGAGTCACCTGAACCTGAACCTGCAGCTGCAGCAGGAGGAGGTGAGTCACCTGAATCTGAACCTGCAGCTGCAGCAGGAGCAGATGAGTCACATGAACCTGAACCTGCAGCTGAAGCAGGAGTATATGAGTCACCTGAATCGGAACCTGCAGCTGCAGCAGGAGTAGATGAGTCACCTGAACCTGAACCTGCAGCTGCAGCAGTAGATGAGTCACCTGAACCTGAACCTGCAGCTGCAGCAGGAGCAGATGAGTCACATGAACCTGAACCTGCAGCTGCAGCAGGAGGAGACGAGTCACCTGAATCTGAACCTGCAGCTGCAGCAGGAGATGAGTCACCTGAACCTGAACCTGCAGCTGCAGCAGGAGGAGATGAGTCACCTGAACCTGCAGCTGCAGCTGCAGCAGGAGTAGATGAGTCACCTAAACCTGAACCTGCAGCTGCAGCAGGAGGAGATAAGTCACCTGAACCTGAACCTGCAGCTGAAGCAGGAGCAGGTGAGTCACATGAACCTAAACCTGCAGCTGCAGCAGGAGTAGATGAGTCACCTGAACCTGAACCTACAGCTGCAGCAGGAGCAGGTGAGTCACATGAACCTGCAGCTGCAGTAGGAGTAGATGAGTCACCTGAACCTGAACCTGCAGCTGAAACAGGAGTAGATGAGTCACCTGAACTTGAAACTGCAGCTGCAGCAGGAGTAGATGAGTCACATGAACCTGAACCTGCAGCTGCAGCAGGAGTAGATGAGTCACCTGAACCTGCAGCTGAAACAGGGATATATGAATCACTGGAACCTGAAGCAGGAGTAAATGAGTCACCTGAACCTGCTGCTGCAGCAGGAGACGAGTCACCTGAACCTGCAGCTGTAGCAGGAGTAGATGAATCACCTGAACCTGAACCTGCAGCTGCAGCAGGAGACGAGTCATCTGAACCTGAACCTGCAGCTGCAGCAGGAGTAAATGAATCATCTGAACCTGCAGCTGAAGCAGGGATATATGAATCACTGGAACCTGAAGCAGGAGTAGATGAGTCACCTGAACCTGCAGCAGATATAGGCATTGACATCTCACCTGAATCTGGAACTGCCATCAACGATCTGGGCTCTTCGCCTGAAGCTCCAGCCATGGTAGAAGACCCCGACACATCTCCTGAACCTGCAGCCTTGATGGAAGGCCCGGATGCGTCACACGAACCCACAGCACGAGGAGAAGTTCCCGAAGGCCTCGCCGCGTGTCCTCAACCTGCTGCCTCCGTCGTGGACCTCTACGCCTCTTCTCAACGTTCCACCATCATCAAGGGCCTCGGCGTCTCTCCTGAACCTCCTCGTCCTCCTCTCGCCGCCGGTGGTGTTGGTGGTGCTGACGGTGGTGGCGGCAGACCGGACGTAGCGACTGAAGCAGACGTGGCACCTGATTCAGACGTGGCACCTGAACTGGATGTAGCGACCGAACCGGATGTAGCACCCAAACCAAACATGGCACCTGATTCAGACGTGGCACCCGAAGTGGACGTGGCACCTGAAGTGGACGTGGCACCTGAAGTGGACTTGGCACCTGATTCAGACGTGGCACCTGATTCAGACGTGGCACCTGAAGTGGACTTGGCACCTGATTCAGACGTGGCACCTGATTCAGACGTGGCACCTGAAGTGGACGTGGCACCTGAAGTGGACTTGGCACCTGATTCAGACGTGGCACCTGATTCAGACGTGGCACCTGATTCAGACGTGGCACCTGATTCAGACGTGGCACCTGATTCAGACGTGGCACCTGAAGTGGACGTGGCACCTGATTCAGACGTGGCACCTGAAGTGGACTTGGCACCTGATTCAGACGTGGCACCTGATTCAGACGTGGCACCTGATTCAGACGTGGCACCTGATTCAGACGTGGCACCTGATTCAGACGTGGCACCTGAAGCGTCAACTGAGCCGCGGGGCTCCCCGGCCGCCGCGGGGGGGCGACGTGTCGGTGCTGTTCAGCATGCGCGTCACCAACATGCGCTTCAGCGAGGCGCTCTTCGACAGGGAGTCCGCCGAGTACAGGGACCTCGAGAAGAAGTTCCTGGACCTGGTGAGGGTTGTGGACGAGTCCGGGTCCGTTTTGTTTTGTGAAACCCCAGGAGGGGGGGGGGGGGGGGGGGTGGGTGCACGAGTGCTCGAGGGAACTTTGGAGGTGGAGAGCAGGATGAGAGGGGGGTAGAAAGAGTCACGTTTGGAGTGGAGTCACCGACCTGGGGTTTGCGTTCCACCAAAGATGAGAAAAGCCAAAAGCTAAAAACCGTCCGGCTCGCGTTCTACGCGATTTTTAAAATGGGCGCACGTTTGATTAATTTACGCTTATTTAGTTTGTCAATTTTTGTTTTCTTTAAACCGTCTGTTTACTACCTTTAGTGCACGTATGGTGGTATCGTAAATATATGCTACCGTAAGCAAGGAAATATGTAGACGTAAGAGTGAGTTTCGATAGCATGCTCTCCCCTAACCACAAACCGTTTCCTTGATTTCTTATTGGGAACAAAAACTTTACGTTTTAATCCATGCGATTCTGAGTTAGGCGCCGTTTTTCAAGAACACAACCCCTCGCGGAAAACGAGAGGTAGCCGTGATGTGGAGTGTACCTCGCGCGGCAGATGAAGAGAATAGCAATCGGTGCAAAAACCCCACTGCAGTGGGTCTTTGTTGTTGTGGACGATGACGACGATGATGACGCAAGGTCAGTGGGCTCCATGACGACGATGATGACGATGATGACGCAAGGTCAGTGGACTTGACGACGACGATGACGACGATGATGACGCAAGGTCAGTGGGCTTGACGACGACGATGACGACGATGATGACGCAAGGTCAGTGGGCTCCATGACGACGATGATGACGATGATGACGCAAGGTCAGTGGGCTTGACGACGACGATGATGACGATGATGACGCAAGGTCAGTGGGCTTCATGACGACGATGATGACGATGACGCAAGGTCAGTGGGCTTGACGACGATGACGACGACGATGACGCAAGGTCAGTGGGCTTCATGATGACGATGACGACGATGATGACGCAAGGTCAGTGGACTTGACGACGACGATGACGCGCCTTGTTTGTGAGCGCGACCGCGTACGTCTCCGCCACCCCCCGCCTCCACCAACGTTGGCTCCGGCCCCGCCCCACCCCCCTCCCGCCCCCAGCTGGTGCCCTACATCGGCGCCAAACTGGAGGGCTTCAAGCAGCTGGAGGTCGTGCGCTTCGAGCGCGGCAGCGTGGTGGTGCTCAGCCGCGTCACGCTGGCGCGCGGCGCGACCGTGCGCCTGCGGCGACACCAAGATGGCGACGGAGACGAAAGCGCCGGCGCAGCCGCCACGCCACGTGCCGCTCTGCTGGGGCTGCTGCGGGAGCTGTGCAGTGCCGCGCCGGCGAGCGCCGACATCAACATTGACCGCAACTCGCTCGGCGTGGGCGGAGATGACGACGGCGGAGGTGGTGGCACACCGCTAGCACCCTAGCCACACCGCTAGCACCCTAGCAACACCGCTAGCACCATAGGAACACCGCTAGCACCCTAGCAACACCGCTAGCACCATAGCAACACCACTAGTACCCTAGCAAAACCGCTAGCACCCTAGCAACACGGCTAGCACCATAGCCACACCGCTAGCACCCTAGCAACACCGCTAGCACCATAGCAACACCGCTAGCACCATAGCAACACCGCTAGTACCCTAGCAAAACCGCTAGCACCATAGCAACACCACTAGCACCCTAGCCACACCGCTAGCACCCTAGCAACACCGCTAGCACCATAGCAACACCGCTAGCACCATAGCAACACCGCTAGCACCCTAGCAACACCGCTAGCACCTTAGCAACACCGCTAGCACCCTAGCCACACCGCTAGCACCATAGCAACACCACTAGTACCCTAGCAACACCGCTAGCACCCTAGCAACACCGCTAGCACCCTAGCAACACCGCTAGCACCCTAGCAACACCGCTAGTACCCTAGCAACACCGCTAGCACCCTAGCCACACCGCTAGAACCCTAGCAACACCGCTAGTACCCTAGCAACACCGCTAGCACCCTAGCAACACCGCTAGTAACCTAGCAACACCGCTAACACCCTAGCAACACCGCTAGTACCCTAGCAACACCACAAGCACCCTAGCCACACCGCTAGCACCCTAGCAACACCGCTAGCACCCTTGCAACACCGCTAGTACCCTAGCAACACCGCTAGCACCCTAGCAACACCGCTAGTAACCTAGCAACACCGCTAGCACCCTAACAACACCACTAGTACCCTAGCAACACCGCTAGCACCATAGCAACACCGCTAGCACCCTAGCAACACCGCTAGCACCTTAGCAACACCGCTAGCACCCTAGCCACACCGCTAGCACCCTAGCAACACCGCTAGCACCCTAGCAACACCGCTAGCACCCTAACCACACCGCTAGTACCCTAGCAACACCGCTAGCACCCTAGCAACACCGCTAGCACCCTAGCAACACCGCTAGCACCCTAACCACACCGCTAGTACCCTAGCAACACCGCTAGTACCCTAGCAACACCACTAGCACCCTAGCCACACCGCTAGCACCCTAGCAACACCGCTAGCACCATAGCAACACCGCTAGCAACCTAGCCACACCGCTAGCACCCTAGCCACACCGCTAGCACCCTAGCCACACCGCTAGCACCATAGCAACACCGCTAGCACCCTAGCAACACCGCTAGCACCCTAGCCACACCGCTAGCACCCTAGCAACACCGCGAGTACCCTAGCAACACCGCTAGCACCCTAGCAACACCGCTAGTACCCTAGCAACACCGCTAGCACCCTAGCCACACCGCTAGAACCCTAGCAACACCGCTAGTACCCTAGCAACACCGCTAGCACCCTAGCAACACCGCTAGTAACCTAGCAACACCGCTAACACCCTAGCAACACCGCTAGTACCCTAGCAACACCGCTAGCACCCTAGCCACACCGCTAGCACCCTAGCAACACCGCTAGCACCCTTAAAACACCGCTAGTACCCTAGCAACACCGCTAGCACCCTAGCAACACCGCTAGTAACCTAGCAACACCGCTAGCACCCTAACAACACCACTAGTACCCTAGCAACACCGCTAGCACCCTAGCCACACCGCTAGCACCCTAGCAACACCGCTAGCACCATAGCAACACCGCTAGCACCCTAGCAATACCGCTAGCACCCTAGCCACACCGCTAGCACCAAAGCAACACCGCTAGTACCCTAGCAACACTGCTAGCACCCTAGCAACACCGCTAGTAACCTAGCAACACCGCTAGCACCCTAACAACACCACTAGTACCCTAGCAACACCGCTAGCACCCTAACCACACCGCTAGCACCCTAGCAACACCGCTAGCACCCTAGCAACACCGCTAGCACCATAGCAACACCGCTAGCACCCTAGCAACACCGCTAGTACCCTAGCAACACCGCTAGCACCCTAGCCGCACCGCTAGTACCCTAGCAACACCGCTAGCACCCTAGCCACACCGCTAGCACCCTAGCCACACCGCTAGTACCCTAGCAACACCGCTAGTACCCTAGCAACACCACTAGTACCCTAGCAACACCGCTAGCACCCTAGCCGCACCGCTAGTACCCTAGCAACACCGCTAGCACCCTAGCCAGACCGCTAGCATCCTAGCAGCACCGCTAGTACCCTAGCAACACCGCTAGCGCCCTAGCCACACCGCTAGCACCCTAGCCACACCGCTAGCACCCTAACCACACCGCTAGAACCCTAGCCACACCGCTAGAACCCTAGCAACACCACTAGCACCCTAGCAACACCGCTAGCACCCTAGCAACAGCGCTAGCATCCTAGCAGCACCGCTAGTACCCTAGCAACACCGCTAGCACCCTAGCAGCACCGCTAGCACCCTAGCCACACTGCTAGTACCCTAGCAACACCACTAGCACCCTAGCCACACCGCTAGCACCCTAGCAACACCGCTAGCATCCTAGCAACACCGCTGGTACCCTAGCAGCACCGCTAGCACCCTAGCCACACCGCTAGTACCCTAGCAACACCGCTAGTACCCTAGCAACACCGCTAGCACCCTAGCAACACCGCTAGTACCCTGCGATGGGGCCTGGGAGATTTTGCGGAGGGACTGGGTCCTTGTTACGGGCTTCCGGGTCTGGGGCATCGTCGTTGTGATCGCTTCACCTCTCTCTACAGCTCACGAACTCAACGACTTTCTCTTTCGCCGGGCGGGAGGCCCCCACTGAGCCGTGTAGCTCTCATTTCAGAAGCCACTCCGTCGAGCCAGTCACGAATGATTGGCTCCACGGAGTGGCTCATCAGATTCGCGTGGAACTTCACAGCAGGAGCCAAATACCTCTAAGCGCGTGGCGTCGATACTTAATGTAGAGGGGGGAAAACCGGAGGACCCGGAGAAAAATACACGCCACCACTGGGAGAGAGAGAGAGACGCAGACTCCAAATATACAGCAGCAGGCGCCAGGGTCGGGATCGAACCCACGCCCTCCTGCGTACCAGGCGAGGTAGTTAACATCTCCTAGCCACCGTGGCAGCTGGGGCACGAGGGGCAGAGCATCCAGGGAGCGGGAGAGAAGCCTTGTGTCGGCTAGATGTCAGCTACCTCGCCCGGTACACAGGAGGTCGTGGGTTCCATCCCGACCCTGACGCCTGCTGCTGCTGTGTATTTGGAGTCTGCGTGTCTCTCTCTCTCTCGTCACGGTGGCTAGGAGATGTTAACTACCTCGCCTGGTATACAGAAGGTTGTGGGTTCCATCCCGACCCTAACGCCTGCTGCTGTATATTTGGAGTCTGCGTGTCTCTCTCTTTCTCATCATCATCACGGTGGCTAGGAGATGTTAACTACCTCGCCTGGTATACAGGAGGTCATGGGTTCGATCCCGACCCTGACGCCTGCTGCATTTATATTTGGAGTTTGCGTGTCTCTCTCTCTCATCATCACGGTGGCTAGGAGATGTTAACTACCTCGCCTGGTGTACAGGAGGTCGTGGGTTCCATCCCGGCCCTGACGCCTGCTGCTGCTGTGTATTTGGAGTCTGCGTGTCACTCTCTCTCTCATCACGGTGGCTAGGAGATGTTAACTACCTCGCCTGGTGTACAGGAGGTCGTGGGTTCCATCCCGACCCTGACGCCTGCTGCTGCTGTGTATTTGGAGTCTGCGTGTCACTCTCTCTCTCATCACGGTGGCTAGGAGATGTTGACTACCTCGCCTGGTGTACAGGAGGTCGTGGGTTCGATCCCGACCCTAACGCCTGCTGCTGTATATTTGGAGTCTGCGTGTCTCTCTCTCTCTCCGTGGTCGCGTGGAATTTTTCTCTGACTCCTCCGGTTTTTCCCCCCTCCACGTTAAAAATCGACGTCACGCATTTAAGAGTATTTGGCTCCTGCTATCAATGTCCACACGGTGATGTGGAGCAACCCAACTCCGCTGGGTTATTATTCGTGATGGCCAGGTTGCTTCTAATAAAAAAAAAAGCTGCGGAGCTCAGCCGGGGCCTTCCACCTCGTAAAATAAAAATAAAAATGTTCAGTTGAAGCACTAAGAGGCAAGATTTGAAGCTTTCGTGACTGCAAGGATCCATACTCTTTGGTTCTATTCGGTAAAGTCATGTAGGTAAAAAAATAAAATAACAAAAAATCACGACGTTTCGGCCACAACACAAGCGGCCTTCATCAGGTGAAGGGTCCAGACTGTCTCTCGAGGACAGCGCTGGAGACAGTCTGGTCCCTTCACCTGATGAAGGCCGCTTGTGTTGTGGCCGAAACGTCGTGATTTTTGTCGTTTTATATTTTTTTTACCTACGTGACTTTACCGAACAGAACCAAAGAGCGCTGAGAGGCTCTCTTATCGGCTTGGTTTGCCCAGTTCGGGGGCTGGCTGCCTCTCAGGCAGTGGAGTATTAATCGCCGAGTTAAATCCGCTCAACATCAATTACAGTCACGAATGAACTTCGTGCAGCATTCATGAGAAAAGCGGAAGGAAGAAATATAATTATAATGGTGCCGAATGATTTCTCCACGCCGACCATTCATCAACGGGGGGGGGTGAGTTCGCCAAGGTTTCCGTGTCGTCGGGCATGCTGCACGCTGCTGCTGCTGCACCCTGCTGCACCCTGCTGCACCATGCACGCTCTACACTGCTGCACCATGCTGCTGCTGCACCCTGCTGCACCCTGCTGCACCATGCACGATCTACACTGCTGCACAATGCACGCTCTACACTGCTGTACACTGCTGCTGCTGCACCCTGCTGCACCATGCACGCTCTACACTGCTGCACCATGCACGCTCTACACTGCTGCACGCTGCACCCTGCTGCACCATGCATGCTGCACCCTGCTGCACCATGCATGCTGCACACTGCTGCACCCTGCTGCTGCTGCACCCTGCTGCACCATGCACGCTCTACACTGCTGCACCATGCATGCTGCACACTGCTGCACCATGCTGCTGCTGCACCCTGCAGATTGCCGCCGCTGCTGCCACAGAGTGGAGACGCAGAGGTCGCCGGGTTCAACTCCATCTCTTGGCGGCACGGTCGACACGACGGAGCAAGTTTCTTCAATCCCCTCCTCCTCCTCCCCACCATCACCACCACCACCTGCTCTGTCCAACCAGCAGCGTGAATGGGTTCAACCACACTGAGCCGACGGTCGGCACGTCGCGTCTGGTGGCACTGGCGGTGGTGGTGGTGGCGGCGGTGGTGGAGGTGGTGGTGATGGTGGTGGTGGTGGTGGTGCTGGTGGTGGTGGTGGTGCTGGTGGTGGTGGTGGTGCTGGTGATGGTGGTGGTGGTGGTGCTGGTGGTGGTGGTGCTGGTGGTGCTGGTGGTGGTGGTGGTGATGGTGGTGGTGGTGGTGGTTCTGGTGGTGGTGCTGGTGCTGGTGGTGGTGGTGCTGGTGGTGCTGGTGGTGGTGCTGGTGGTGGTGGTGGTGGGAGAGAGAATTTAAGAAACTTGCTCCGTTGCGCTTCAACTGGCGTGCCGGGAGATGGAGTCGAACCGGTCACTCATGGGTGGCGAGTGACCGGTTCGATGCCCAGTGTCACCTCACCGCTGCGGTCAGCATCTCTGCTGTTATGGATTCGCTACAAAAGCAGCCTGAGCAGGGGAACGAAAACAACCCCCTGGCTGCATTTGCCACTGCGCTATTGAGGTCTCTGCCTAGATTTGTTGGCCAGCCGTGACCTATCCGCTGTGGGGTAAAAGTCTCCCCAGAGCTGCCGACAACTCTCTCGAACTGCCTCCCCTCCGTGCTGTCCCACTCATCTCGAGCTCTCTCCTTCACGTGTCTGCACCGGTGCGATCAAGCGGAGTTTCACCGCCCGTCGTCACCGCCCGTCGTCACCACACATCGTCACCGCACGTCGTCACCGCACGTCGTCACCGAGCGACTTCACTGCGCGACGTCACCGAGCAAAGTCACCGAGTGAGGTCACCGAGCGTCGTCACCGCCCGTCGTCACCGCCCGCCGTCACCGAGCGACGTCACCGAGCGTCGTCACCGCCTGTCGTCACCGAGTGACGTCACCGAGTGAGGTCACCGCCTGTCGTCACCGAGCGACGTCACCGCCTGTCGTCACCGAGTGAGGTCACCGAGCGTCGTCACCGCCCGTCGTCACCGAGCGAGGTTACCGAGCGACGTCACCGAGCGACGTCACCGAGTGAGGTCACCGCGCGTCGTCACCGAGCGTCCTCACCGAGTGAGGTCACCGAGTGAGGTCACCGAGCGTCGTCACCGAGCGACGTCACCGAGTGAGGTCACCGAGTGAGGTCACCGAGTGAGGTCACCGAGTGTCTCCCCTCCCGACAGGCACAGAGCCGGAGGAGGCGGAGGAGGCGGAGGAGGAGGCGGAGGAGGAGGCGGAGTCGTGCCGATCCGTGCGGTGCGACGAGACGTCGTGGTGCCGCGTGAGCGCCGAGGGCCGGACCGCCCGGTGCGAGTGCCGGCCGGGCTACGTGGCAGTGCCGGCGGTGGATGTTGGCGGTGGACCCCCGTGCCGGAGGGAGTGCCCGGAGAACTCGCGCGCCGCCAGAAGCCGCTAGCCGTGCCGGTGACCCCTGCCGAGCGTGACGATGACCACAACCGTGACGGAGCGTGACGGAGCGTGACGAACTCGACTCGGGACGCGGACCGACATCGTTCGCTAGCGCCGGGAGACCACCACCAACAGCGTCCGTTGTGGCTAAATACAAAACAAATTATGAGTTCACCGATTGGCTGAGCTGAGAATACTGGGGGTGAGTGAGCAGGGGGGGGGGGGGTTGCGCCCCCTCCCCCCCCCCCCCTCACCAATGATAACGACTCGGCATGACGACCTCTCCTCTTATTCTTAGTCACGAAAGCTTTAAATCAAAATTTAAACGACCTCTCCTCTCTCGCATCTCTCTCCTAACATCTCTCCCCTCCACTCTCCCCTCCACTCTCCCCTCCACTCTCCCCTCCTCTCTCCCCTCCTCTCTCCCCTCTCTCCCGTCTCTCCCATCCTCTCTCCCCTCCACTCTCCCCTCTCTCCCGTCTCTCCCCTCCTCTCTCCCCTCCACTCTCCCCTCTCTCCCCTCCGCTGACGCCAGGACGAACTCCTCCGTTGTGCGTCGCCGCGGGATGAAACGAAACCCCGAATTAAGCTCGAGGCGCATGAAAAATGCAACGCGGCTTCGTACCCTTTCGGGCGACAATGCGAGGAGGCTGTTGAAGACGTTCAAACGCCAAATTGGACGCGCGCAAAAAAGAATGCTCAGCCCGTAGATGCAACTGCTCAGCCCGAGCGATTAACGCTTTCATAAAGAAATTCCCTTTGTGCTGTTCGCCCCGTCGGCCATTGTCCTCTGGTCTGACGCCGGTGGTGACGCTGTGGGCCGTAGCTCTGCTGTGGGCCAATCGGTTTCAAAGGCGGTGCGTGACGTCATAGTCAGAGCACGTTCGTCTGCATGTTGATGGCACAAGCATGGTGTGTGGTTAATGCGGACTGCTCGATTATGCCCCGTCAGTGATAATAGGGGCCGTCCATTAATGACGTCACGCGATTTTGGACGATTTTTTACCCCCCCCCCCACCCCCCATCGTCACACGGCGTCACAAAAATCAGACTCCCCCCCCCTCAAATATGACGTCACAAAGCTCTGCCCCCCCCCCCCTCCCCAAAAAAACATGCTTCAAATCGCTTTAAACTATTGTCATTGTAGTGCGTATTTAATGTGGCGCTGCACTCTGATGTTGTAGGAGAAAACATTTATTAAAAAGTCAATTTTATTAAGTACAACGTGTTGTCTATATTTATTTAAAGTTGCAGCATTTTGATGTGACGTCACATTTCTCAACCCCCCCCCCGTCACACATCGTTACAAATGTCTAACCACCCCCCCCCCCTTGGTGCGTGACGTCATTTATGGACGGCTCCATAGGTGTGTGTCAAGTTGGTGTTTGAACATCTGTCGTGTTTAGTTTGTCACGTTGTGCTTAGGTTCGATTGTACGTTCCCGGCACCTCCGATGAGCACGGTTGGCTACGTACAGTGCGAAAGAAGTTCAACGTACACACATAGACTCGCATAGTCACTCACTCACATAGTCACTCACTCACATAGTCACTCAATCACTCAGTCACTCACCCACCCACACACATAGTCACTCACTCACATAGTCACTCACTCACTCACATAGTCACTCAATCACTCACATAGTCACTCACTCACATAGTCACTCACCCACGCACTCACACAGTCACTCACCCACTCACATAGTCACTCACCCACTCACACAGTCACTCGCCCACTCACATAGTCACTCACCCACTCACATAGTCATTCACCTACTCACATAGTCACTCACCCACTCACATAGCCACTCACCCACTCACACAGTCACTCAATCACTCAAATGGTCACTCACCCACTCACATAGTCACTCACCCACTCACATAGTCACCTACTCACAGTCACTTACTCACATAGTCACTCACTCACATAGTCACTCACTCACTCACATAGTCACTCAATCACTCACATAGTCACTCACTCACATAGTCACTCACCCACGCACTCACACAGTCACTCACCCACTCACATAGTCACTCACCCACCCACTCACACAGTCACTCGCCCACTCACATAGTCACTCACCCACTCACATAGTCATTCACCTACTCACATAGTCACTCACCCACTCACATAGCCACTCACCCACTCACACAGTCACTCAATCACTCAAATGGTCACTCACCCACTCACATAGTCACTCACCCACTCACATAGTCACCTACTCACAGTCACTTACTCACATAGTCACTCACCCACTCACATAGTCACTCACCCACTCACATAGTCACTCACCCACTCACATAGTCACCCACTCACATAGTCACTCACCCACTCATATAGTCACTAACTCACATAGTCACTCACCCACTCACATAGTCACTAACTTACATAGTCACTCACCCACTCACATAGTCACTCACCCACTCACATAGTCACTCACCCACTCACATAGTCACTCACCCACTCACATAGTCACCCACTCACATAGTCACTCACCCACTCACATAGTCACTAACTCACATAGTCACTCACCCACTCACATAGTCACTCACCCACTCACATAGTCACTCACACACACACTCACCCATCCTCCAATTAGCATCAACAACTCCTGTGTTATTTGCCGGAAATGGTAACGTTATTTATTTTTCTTGTAATTCTAATACCGGCATAACAAAATATGGTCCGGTTGATAGAGTCTGCAACGCGACTGCTGTGCTCACCGGAACCACGTGGCCGGGGATCACGCGGGGTCACCACGGGGTTCACGCGGGGTCACCACGGGGTTCACGCGGGGTCACCACGGGGATCACGCGGGGTCACCACGGGGTTCACGCGGGGTCACCACGGGGATCACGCGGGGTCACCACGGGGTTCACGCGGGGTCACCACGGGGATCACGCGGGGTCACGACGGGGAAATAGCAAAGACAAAGATCCCCCCATAGCCTTCAACAGACTGTTGGGGCAAGTGCTGTTAGCGAGCAGCACCTGTGAAGGCCGGTTAAAGCACACGAGGGGGTGGGTGGCCAGCACCACGCCCGGCCGCCTTTGTCTCCCCCAGTGGCGATGTGTACTACACATCCGCGCCAGGTACTCATTTGAGGCTGAGTCGACCGAGGGGAGGCCCGGAACCATCTTTAGACAATCGTCACTGGTTGTTGGCCGCGAGCGGGAATCGAACCAAAGGCCCAAATCTCACCGACGCAGTTGGCTACGCACGGCACGAGAGAATCCCAACACCCACAGACACACATACTCGCTGCTATAAACTTACTCTTCATTTCACCAGGTGTCAGGCCCACTGAGCTGCGCGGCTATTTTGTCAGGAGCGACCTCCTGGCCATCACAAATGAAAGCTCGACCAAGTGGTTTGTCGTCATCATCATCATCACCATCGCCACCATCGCCATCACGTGGAAATGTCTAGCAGCGGCCGAATAACTCTAAACGCGTCGTGATGCCGATGCTATATGTGGAGGGGAAAAACGGGAGGACCCGGAGAAAAATCCACGCGACCACGGGGAGAGAGAGAGAGATGCATGCAGATATACAGCAGCAGGCGTCAGGGGTCGGGATCTAACCCACGACCTCCTGTATACCAGGCGAGGCAGTTAACATCTCATAGCCACCGTGATGATGATGATGAGAGAGACACGCAAACTCCAAATATACAGCAGCAGCAGACGTCAGGGTTGGGATCGAACCCACGACCTCCTGTATACCAGGCGAGGTAGTTAACATCTCATAGCCACCACGGCGCCCATAGGGGCCGTCCATAAATGACGTTACCCGATTTTGGACGATTTTTGACCCCACCCCCCTCGTCACACGGCGTCACAAAAAATCAGACCCCCCCTCCCCTCAAATATGCTTCAAATCGCTTCAAACTATTGTCATTGTAGTGCGTATTTAATGTGGCGCTGCACTCTGATGTTGTAGGAGAAAACATTTATTAAAAAGTCTATTTAATTAAGTAGAACGTGTTGTCTATATTCCTTTAAAGTTGCGCATTTTGATGTGACGTCACATTTCTCAACCCCCCCCCCCCCATCGTCACACATCGTCACAAATGTCTGACCCCCCCCCTATGTGCGTGACGTCATTTATGGACGGCCCCCTATACAAGTAAATCACCGCCCCCCCCTCCCCTTACGAATACCGAGTAAAAAATAAAAATAAACAAATTAATAAATGACACCAAACCAAAAAGCAGCACAAACAACAACAAAACAACAACAACAACAAAACAACACAACAACAACAAAACACAACACAACAACAACAAAACAACAACAACAAAACAACAACAAAACAACAACAACAAAACAACACAACAACAACAAAACAACAACAACAACAACAACAAAACAACAACAACAACAACGTTCTCCCAACACAGGTGGAGTGAAAGATTGAGCAAGCCGGATTATGGGTGGGGGGTGGGGCGACGTTGTTCTGAGAGCCCCCTCCCCCCATCCCCCCCCGGCCCCCCCCCCGCCCCCCATGCCCCCGCCCCCCAGCTGGCCACAGGTATCCTGCAGGAGTGGAGGGGGGTGAGGATTTGAGACCGGCCGCCACTGCCGCTGGTGTTGTTACTGTTGTTGTTGGTGTTGTGGTTGTTGGTGTTGTTGTTACTGTTGTTGTTGGTGTTGTTGTTGTTGTTGGTGTTGTGGTTGTTGTTGTTACTGTTGTTGTTGTTGGTGTTGCTGGTGTTGTTACTGTTGTTGTTGGTGTTGTTGTTGTTGTTGGTGTTGTGGTTGTTGTTGTTGTTGGTGTTGTTGGTGTTGTTGGTGTTGTGGTTGTTGTTGTTGTTGTTGGCGTTGTTGTTGTTATGGTTGTTGTTGGTGTTGTTGTTGTTGTGGTTGTTATTGTTGTTGCTGGTGTTGTTGCTGTTGTTGTTGTTGCTGTTGTTGTTGTTGCTGGTGCTGTTGTTGCTGGTGTTGTTGTTGTTGCTGTTGTTGCTGTTGTTGTTGCTGGTGCTGTTGTTGCTGTTGTTGTTGTTGTTGCTGTTGTTGCTGTTGTTGTTGCTGTTGTTGCTGGTGTTGTTGTTGTTGCTGCTGTTGTTGTTGTTGCTGGTGTTGTTGTTGTAGCTGTTGTTGCTGGTGTTGTTGTTGTAGCTGTTGTTGTTGTTGCTGGTGTTGTTGTTGTTGCTGTTATTGTTATTGTTGCTGTTGTTGTTGCTGTTGTTGTTGTTATTGTTGCTGTTGTTGTTGCTGTTGTTGTTGATGTTGTTGTTGTTGTTGCTGTTGTTGTTGTTGCTGTTGTCGTCCCGGGTGTAATGGGACGGAGGAATTTGCGAGGCGAGATTTACTCAGATTCGGGTGCCGTGGAGGAGCCGTAGAGCCCACGTGTTTAATGTTGGTGTTGTT